GGGCCTGATTCTTCCAGGAAACCTGTCCTTTACACACATACACCACCACCAGCCCCTGGTGTCAGATGGAGCTATTCTCTGTCCATGTCCCTGTCTGACACACAGCCAATAGATCATGGTAGACATTACATTTCCAAACTGTCCTCTCTTTTTGGAAAGGTGGCCAACTTCTGCCGTCTTGCAGTGGGGCGCACCAGTTGCTGCAAAGCCTCACAGACAGCACAAACATATGAGATTGCCATAGCCTCAGGAAGGTTTCAGGCAAGAGGTAGCTGTGTGGTAGGTCAGATCTGGATGGCCCTTGTAGGTGTTACTCCTCATACCTGCTCTCTACAGCACAAATACATAGTTTGCACTTAATTCAGTGTGAGCAATGAAATTAAGCTAGTCGCTTTCATTTTTGCTTCTAGTTAGTTTCTAGGAAGCTCCCCTTGCAGCCTCTGATTCCCTAGCACAATGGTGCAGTGTTTGAATTGCTACCACTGCAGGGGAATGTCTAAAGCCAAACAGAAAAAAAGCAAAACACAACATCCTTACATCTGAAATTAAAACATTTCTAATAACAACAGATTTTATAAAACTTTGAGAGTAATAATATATATTCAAATGTGTCAGCCGGTCATATTTCTGGGGGCAGTTATTACTGTATTATTATTTATATACAATGTTCTATTACATCTAACTTTTATCACCTCATTCATTATGAGATTTTAGCCTCATAACACTCCTGTGATATAGGGACATAATATCTCCATTGTATAGATGGGGAATTGAAGTATGGGGCAGGTTAAGTCACTTGCTTACGGTCCTATAGGGAGTCTGTAGCTGAGCCAGGAATTGAACCCTCATGTCCTGTGTCCTACACCATCTTTCCCATCCCCATACAGCAAATTAACTGTAGGGTGACCAGATGTCCCGATTTTATAGGGACAGTCCCGATATTTGGGGCTTTTTCTTATATAGGCTCCTATTACCCCCCACCCTCTGTCCCAATTTTTCACACTTGCTGTCTGGTCACCCTAATTAACTGTGCCAGATAAATGACAAGTCCTTGCCCTGACAAGTTTAAAGGTACAAGTGGATACTACGCTATACGTAAGTAGATTACAATAGGGCCAAATCCTGCAGTCCTTTCTCAGGCAAATCTCCCATAGACTTAAGGACCCTGGCAACTTATGTTTGCTATTTTAAAATAATGTATTAAATAATGTATCCCTGTTCCATGCACAGCCCTTCTGTCTCTATTTCTCACTTTTCATTTGCTTGGAAATGGGTGGTTGTGGCAGATAAGCATCTCAGAGACTTGGGTGTGGGAGGGTAAACAGCAGCCTGAGAGCATGCACATGAAGCAGAGGCTGCAGAGCCTCTAATCCTGGGCTGCTGCCACCTGCAGGCTTTCTCAGAAAGACTAGGAGCGGACTCTGGAGAAGACAGAGCAGGGGCATCAAACATATGGCCAGCACATAATTTATTTAAGTGGTCACCATGACCTATTCAGATTCTCCAGAATCTCAGCTTCGATTTTCTAGCTGCATTGGTAATAATCTAAAGCTGATTGGAATATAGATTTTGCAGTGGTTCTCAACCTGTGGTCCGCACACCAGTAGGGGTCCGCCAGTATAGTCCAGGGGGTCCACGAATGTACCAGCAACCAGAGGTGACGTGTGGTAGGGGGGCACATTTGGCCCTGCTCCCTGAAGTGCTGATGCAGCAAAGCAGAGCAGTGGTGTGTCTCCTTGGCTAGCTGCTGCCTGTGGAGTCAATGGCTGTGAGGCAACCCATTCTGATGGCAGGAGATCTCTCTTCTGCAGTGATGTTGCAATTTTTGGTTGTGGCCTTGCCCCCGATTTCTGCTGGGTGGCCCACTGGAGTGAGTCAGGGAGTGGAGGCGGCGCTCCCTCCCCGAGTCCCCCTAGATGGACATGCCCCACAGTTTGAAAACTTCTCTGGCATTAATAAGCTGTCAATATTTTAATTTGCTGTGTTCTGTTGATCTGTTCAAATAATAATTTCTCTACAGTAATATTCAGGATAACTATTAAAATAATGTGAAAGAAACAAATTATGAGCAACAAAATAATGATGGGAAGTTGGGGTTCTGCAAGTTTGTCAATTTAAGTTTAGGGGTCCCTGGGTAAAAAAAGGTTGAGAACCACTGCTTTGGATAACACTTCAGTGCCAACATCAACTATTTAATCACTCATCATTTTAGTGGGTAGGTTGGGAAGAGGATGGGAGTGCAGCCCATGGGGTTGGAAACTTGGAATTTCTGCAGGGAAGAAGAGAATGCAGAGAACAGAGGAGATTCCCAAAGACAGGGGAGGGAGAAGAAATTGAGAAAGGAAGAAGGAGAAACAAAAAGCATAAACAACAGTAGGCTTAAACAGGAACATATTTAAAAGAAAAAGGGTGCATACTGAAGATGAATGTGACAATAAGGTACTGAAAAATAACAACAAAACATTTAGTTACTGCATAAAGACCATATCCTTTCCTTGATATCTGTGCAAACTGCCAATTGACATCAATGTCTTATTGAGAGTATATAGTCCTGAATTTATACCCTGGGCCATGAGCCATAATTAAAAGTAGAATTCAGCCCTCTTCTTCCAATGAGTTTGACACCCCTGCCATAAAGGATAAGAAGACGTTCAGGATTTTGAGGTTGGAGGAAAGAATACTTGAGCCTTGATTCCTCCCTCTGTCATGGGATGGTGGAAGAAGAGAAAATGTATAGTAAACTCTTGTACACTTCCCTCTTTCCTGCCTGCCAAAAAAACAAAACAAAAACCCAACATCTTGTGAAGTGGATGGGTGGGAAGGTTATTGTGGCCCACTCTCTCCAAAAATGCTATTGCGCAATGTTACTCTTTCAAAGGTGTTATTATGGGGGCTGTCCTAAAATGTCATATGCTGTTATAAAGAAGTGGGGGGTGATCCCTTTCAAAATGTTTACCAGTGATATAGCAATCTCAGGGGAGATTTTCAAAGGCAAAAAGGGCAATGAAAGTCAATGGAAGTTGGGCACCTGCCTCCCATTTGTGTCCTGACCAATACCTTTATTTACATTTCCATCTGTTCCACATAGATTGAAGCAGTTATTCTCATCACACACCCTGCCTAAAGCACTTGTCTACACTAGAGCAATTCTAAAAACTGTTTGGTCCACTTAGCAGGCATGTAAAACCTCTGCAACAAGTGCTCCAAACAGCCGAATAGTCTTTGAATAAGCAGTGTTTGGGTCTGTAATGTTTAATGCCAGTAGATGGACAATGGTTCAAGTAGCCCTCCCACTACTATCCAATAGTGCACTGGTGGCCTTTGAAATCTCTCAGAATCCCTTGCTTCTGGAAGATGTGCTTGAAATTGTGGGATAGATGCCAAGAAGGCATTGCAACTAAAGCAATTTAGAACAGCACTAGTGAGAACATGGAGCAAAACTGTAATGGTACAGAACACAAATCACTGTGTCTAATGTGGGTACACTCATTTACTTGGACTTCAATTGGTTCTGTTCCACCAGTTCAATTAGGAACAGTTAATTAACTAGGGTAGGCATGGTCAGAGAGTGAATGACGGAGGAAACAATGGCTTCTACTAAAATTAGTGTAATTGGTGTAAGGAAGAAGCAAACATCAGGATGCGTCACTAAATCCTATCAAGCTGTGCAGGAATTAGGACAGAAAAACAAACTGTAAAACTGAAGAATTACAAATCCAACATGAAAACAAATGTCACTTTGAGCCAATGGGGGAAATTAAACTCTTCCCCAAATACTCCAACTCAAAGTCAGAGTTCAGAATACCAAGACAGCTTTTTTAGAACACTGTGCCCTACATACATACACACAGGATCTGTGCCCAAGAGGACAGAGTTCTGTTAATGGGTCTTATATATGATCTTGGGCAAGTCACTTCACCTTTCCGTTTCTCCGCTTGTCCTCCCAACTAGACTTATGTATTTAATTTTCAAACTGTTCAGGCATAAACTTTATCTTATATTATGATTTGTATGTTTCCTAGCACAATGGGGCCCTACATTTGGTTGGGATCTCTGTGTGCTACTGGAATACAAATAATACTAAGAATACCTTGTCCGAATTGTGATCCCACTGGCTCTGACCTCTACACACCCTTGGCCTGCATCATAAGTCTCCTGTGCCCCTGCAGAGCTGGCTCTATGGCTTGCAAAGGACAAAGGAGTCTGTGAGCAGGCTCCATGCTTTCTGATCCTGCCATGGTGGTACTCCATTCTGACCAATGCTGGTCAACATTTCAATCTTTTTTTAATCATTTTTGCTGGGTTTTTAAAACCAGTTTATATAGAGCTGGTTGAAATGTTTCCAGTGTTGGATATTTCAACCACAGTTTTGTATGGGAAATGTTTTAAAAATTCTCATACATTGCCACAATTTTTTGACATAGACTGGCCCAGCCAGGGAGAGGGTGGGTCAATGATTCCACCCCAAGGAACAGGAGAGCTGGCCCAGAGGGGCACAATGTCACTACAGCCGGGTGGCTTCTAGAATAGCATCGAAGAGTTGTTTTTTCAGAGCTGCCGTGGGAACGTGGCGAGGGGAAGCTGTTCCATGCCGAGCGGGCTGCATGAAGACAGCAAGGAACGCGGTGACCTCACCGTATTTCCATGTCTGCTACACACACGTGCAAGGAGGGACAGCTTCTCTGTTACCGATCTGCACGAACGACACCACTGCAGCCCATCGCTACCCACTTCTGGGCCCCCCCGCACCCATTTCCTACCCTGTCACCCCAAGCGCACCTGAGTGTTTGCACAGGCTGGGCGCTGGCGGGGGCTGCTGCGCCTTTAAGGACTAAGGAGCCTGTGGCTGCGATGTGGGGGGGCGCAGGCTGCGAAGGGCCGAGGAAGGAGCGGCGCTGGCCACCGGCTGCAGGTTGAAGCGGGGGCGGAGCAGCTCGGGGTGCGGGGCGGGCTCTGGTCCCGCCCCGCGCGCCGGAGAGGCCGCAGCGCCATGCGAGAGCGGTGCCCGCCCGGCCCGGCGCTTGCAAGGCTCCCCGCCCCGCGCAGCCTGGGCTGGGCAGCGCGCAGAGGACGCAGCGGCGCAGGCTGCTGGCGAGGGGCCCCGGGACCCTAGCGGCCCCTGCGGGCATCGCCTTCACGGGCTGGGACTGGCGGTCATTTCCCTCTGCTCCCGGCTGCGGGGTGGCTCCGGCTCAAGGGCGGCTCTTCTGGCCTGCTCTGCCCTAGGGCGTCCTCGGGCCGGACTGTGCGCCAGCCGGCGTCTGTCATTGGATTGCAAAGGGCGAGCTCGGTGCTCTCAGCGATCCGGCTGAGGTAGCGCGGGAGAAGCAAATGCCTTGAAGTTTTCTCCCCCGGCGAGGGGAGGGACCCTGGCACGCGAAGACCGTACGGGCGGAGCGGGGCAGCCGGCTGGTTATGTGCAGTCATGGCTTGGCCGGCGTATTGGGTGGACGAGATCCAGTGGTTTACCCTGGTCACTCTGTTTGTGGCTGCCCTGGTCACTCTGGCCATCTACCTGGTGCAATATGCTCTGGTCGCTCTGCGGAACAGCAGGAGGAAACCGCCGTCGTCGGATGAACTTCTGCAGGGAAATGACACCCTATTGGCCTGGGTGCTGTCTCTGAACAGCTGGAGGACCCAGTGGCAGAAAGCTTGGATAACAGCCCTGAATGCAGAAGCCAAAGTGAGAGGGGTAAGTGGCTGTGTATACTGGAAAAAAATGAAAACAAAAATAGTGGAAGTCTTGCACTGAAAACGACGTTGCAATCGTCTGTGTTACCATAATATGGGCATCTGCACTTATTGCAAGTATCTGTTCTTGAGATCTCATGGTTTTGAATGTAGATCTGTTTCCCCAGTCCTATTTCATGGGGGTGTAACCCTGTTGACTCTTATGGAGTTTCAAATCGAAGTGAACCTGGTGAAAGGGGAGTGGAAAAATGGCTTTATGTCTCTTATTCCAAAAGGATCTTATACGTAGTATTTTAAATACTGTTGTGACTTTTATACCTGCACTTTTGTGTAGGTTAAAGTCCTGGAGAGTAATTTGAAAACCGAGCCTCAGATTTTTAAGACTACAGTGTAAGGACATTATCAAGTTATTTTTTCCCTTCCAAATAAATGAACACTCACTGTTCATCATAATTGCCTTCTGGAAGCTTTAAACTAAAATCTTTCTTCCCACTTCTTACCAAATCAGTATGATTCCTTCCACTTTTTTGAACTGTCATTCCATTAAAAAGGTAAATCTATTTTGGTAAATACATATGAATTTGGAAATGCAAGAGCCAAATTTTGCTTTCCATTACAGCTGTACAAATCAGGAGTACAGTATAAAGCATCAATGAACTGGATGTACACTCGTGTAACTGAAAGTAGAATCCGACCCAAAGACTTACACCTCCCCTACAGAGCACAATTGTCATTGTAGAGTCTGCCAGGAGAGCTAAATAAATGTTGTCTATCCCAATAACATGCTAAAAGATATGCATCCGAAGAAGTGGGTTGTAGCCCACGAAAGCTTATGCTCTAATAAATTTGTTAGTCTCTAAGGTGCCACAAGTACTCCTGTTCTTTTTGCGGATACAGACTAACACGGCTTCTACTCTGAAAAATAACATGCTAGAACTTTACTAGACTCTAGTTTTATTCTTACGTTTGCTAACCGTGAATCAAGTCTTTTGGGGACTATGAAAAATGCTAACTGTATATACATTTGTTAATAAAACATACATAATGTTTACCTGATTTTATTATGTTGAAGTGAATGTCACTATTTGACTTCTGCTTTGCTTTGCCCACTGTTTACCATGTTTGCCAAAACAAGAAGTAAATATGTGTATGGTTACACTTATTAAGAATATCTTTGCCAGTGAAATCTAGAAATTTTCCTGTTCTAGCCACTATTTCCTTAAAAAAAATATATAGAAGGGAGATGGCTAGAAGTGCAGGAGAGAGGGTGTCACTGACCTCTTAACCAATCAAGATAGACTCTGCATAGCAATTGATAACATTGTCCTGTACCTCTGAGGTAAACAGTAGAAACTTCCTGACTTGTCACATGACTCTAATGTCAATCATGAGCCAGACTTTTCCCCTTATATAACTCTCAAAACTGGTCAATTCCAGCCCCTCTCATGTATGTTTTTGAACACATTTCAGATTTTTGATGTTTACTTCTGTTTAACTTATTTTTGTTTGTCTGGCAGATCTCAGAATTGTAGAGTGGAGCAGAATAGAGTAAAATAAGATAATGTTCAACCTTATGTCAATCATGCAACTTGTTTGAATTTTATATAAAACTTAAAAAAAAACTGTCTGAATTGGCATGCACAACATTTGACCTACCTTTCTACTCCCAGTATCTTTGTGTAAAGGACGTAAAACTTTATATATAGTATTAAAAAAAATAAAAAACCTCTGGATCTGAAGGGGGGATGCAAGGGTAGGTCAGGCCACAACAACCTAATTTCCTGGACTGAAATTGAAACTTTGCTGTGTCGCTGGAAATACCCAATTCTAACCATCTGGGAAATGTTGTTTCTGAGTGTAGATTTTTATGTGTATTCTTCAGCACCATCTCCCCAAGCCAGTGATCTTTTGTTAGCAATCTGTTATTTCTAAGCAACCCATATGTGTGCGTGTGTGCATGTGTGTGTGAAATTTAAAATTCTCCAGGCATCATTGTAAATGGGGAAGGTCGGTAGGAAATACTTTTGATTGTCCTCTTAAAATATCAGTGCGGTGTGAGAAAACTATGGGTGTTATGATAAAGGATGAAAGACAGAGTTCTGCAAAAATAAATATTTTAAGAATTGTTATGAATTGGATACAGGTTCCAGGAGACAGAAATTAACACCACACTGTAGGCAAACAGATACAGAAAGTAACATTGCCTCTCACACACACCCTCCCCAAAAGAGCTTCTGTAGCCTTTTCTTTTGATGAATTCACTGCCTGACACTGCAATATGTTGTTACTCCCTCAGCTAGGCTCCCAAATGCTCAGAACAATGTCAGCATCACAACGCTAATGAAATTCCTCCATGTGTACTCTTATACCAAAGCAAAACTTAACCTGGGAAGTCTGTTAATGCAGCAGCAGCAGCCAATGAGCACTCACAGCATGAGTAAAATGTAATTACTGTTGTTTCTGAAAACGTGACTTCACAAAGCAGTGGATTTTAGGGATCTATTTCTCCCCCTCTTTGTGTGTGTTACGTTTACATCATATTCTTCTTCCTAGGTTCTGGTCAGTGTTGTAGGCGTGGGGTGTTTTTCTGTTAAGTATTAAAAACAAAATATTGTTGTGTTTTTAAAGATCTTTCAAACAATTGTTTGGTAGCTCTTCATTTTGGGATAGATCATGCAGCCAGCCATATAACGTGCTGTAGAATAGTATTAGAGTTATTAGGCCGGATCCTGAAAACAGTTGTTACTATTTATATTATGGTAGCTGTGAGAAAATCTTACTCAGGAGAGTAGCTTCATTGAATTCAATAGAATTACCTGCAATATGTTGAGTGCCCTCACCTCCCATTGCTGTCAAGATGAGTCAGAATCAGGCCTTATGAGAGTGAAATTCAGCATAGGTTTTCCAGGATGTTCCTTGCATTATGTAGTGGAGAATAGTGGATAGGATTAAAACCCCCTGCAATTTTATATATGAAAACTCACACTTTCTATTATCTGATGGTTTCAAAAACTTTCATGACAGTGTGGCTCTATTATGTTGAAGTGAAAATAATTTATTTTATTAAAACGTGTACTTGTTTCTTAGGATTCGTTGTTGCTTACATTTGAAGAAGACACAACTCCTCAGCCACTGGAGCTAGCAGTTAGACGGGTTGTAAGTGTTGTAAAGTCAGCCCAAGAGAAGGTAAACTTTAATGTTTTCTCTTAATAGATTAAAATTGTTACTCCTTTTTAAAATACTAAGCTTTGTCAAGCTTGGTAATGGACTTTCTGAGTTATGGACTGCTGTAAACCCTGTGCATGCTTATTTGAGCCGATTATAAGTTTCAGAGTGTTTCAGAGCTACTAGCAATTGATCAAAAAATTGAGCTCATTCTTAGTTTTATGTATGCATCTGTTAAGGTCACATGGCCAAATGTTTTCCCATTATTTCTCCCTCCCATTACTGTTAAAGTCTGCTTAGGGTGGGGAAGGAAAGGAACATTCTGGAGAATGTTTTGTTGATTAAAAGTTTTACTTAACTGCAACCAGATAAGAATAGGCCAAGTAGGTACAAAGTCTAAGGGTGAAATCTTGGCCCCGTTGAACTCAATGGGAATTTTGTCCTGGTCTTTAATGGGTCTGGAAAGTCACCCTAAAAGGTATTAAATGAGAACTAGCATATGAACGCTTTTTTCTTTTCTTTTCTTTTTTTTTTTTTAAGAAGCGCACAACATTAAAACAAGACTGAATGTGGCCATTTGAATATGTACATTCTTTCCATGAGATGCACAAGCACAACTCTACTGTCTTCAGTGGAAGTTGCATTGGGTGGCATAATTTGGACAAAATTGTAGAGGCTAATGACTAAGTTTTCAAACTTAAATGCCTACAGTTAGGCCCCTAACACAAAGTGGCCTGATTCTCACAGGTGCTAAGCACCCACTCTCTTATTACTTCTCTCTTCCTGTTAGTCCTGTGAACTATGCACATAAGTTGGAGTAGTCTAACTTTAGGTTCCCCGATTTGAGGTTTGTTTTGGTTTTGGTTTTGTTTGTTTTTTAATAACAAATTCTTCGTTGAATGGAAGGTAAGGGCCCAGATCATTTGATATAGCAGATCTGCATTCAGAGTAAGACCTGAGTGTTTCTACACCCCTAATCCTGAGGCTAGCTGATGGCTCAGCCAGTCCACAGAGTAAGTTAGGGGAGTCTTAACTCCCAGGATGTAAGGATGCCCATCTGCATCTCCCTTTTCTCCAGCAGCTGGGGCTAGGATGCTATTCTGTTGGCTTCACATTATCTGAGGATTCCCCAACACGGGGGAATCCTCCGGAGGCTCGATCTGCTAGTACTATGGCTATAGTACTTTGGGCCACCATTGGATCAGATTGATGTTTTTTCTAAGAGATGCTTTAGTGCAAGCAGGAATTAATTCAATCCGGGAAGCTCTGTGGCCTGTTTTATACAGGGGGTCAGACTAGATGATTATGGTAGATCCTTCTGGCCTTAATCTATGAATCTATATAAATATTTTTTTGTGGCGCACACATAAGAGGGAGATTGGGGGATTTTGAGGAGGGAGAAGTCGAACCAGCCCAGACCAGAAAAGTCAATAGCCTGGTGATTAGGGCACTCCCCTGGGATATACCTGCTCTAGAACCTGGGTCTCCCATATCTCATTTAGGCATTGATCTGGGTCTCTTCCATTTCTCTCCTTTCTCTTCCACCTCCTTCTTTTCCTTCCCCACACCCCCAAAACAAAACATCCTGGATCTAAAAACCTTTCTGATGGAAGCTTAGTTGAGATGATAAGTTTTGGTGTTCACAAATCTACATTTTCCACTGAGAAACATTTTGGCGAAAAAGTCAGATATAGACAGGACTGGGTTGAACACTGTCTTAATCATATAGGCAGGTTTTTATGGAAATGGCTTCAACCTTATCTATGAATTTCTTTACTCTTCTTGGTTTAAGACACACACTGCATGAAATTCAAATATATTTTGCCTCTCTGCACAATAGTTGTAAATTAAAGAAGGAGCCCTTTGATAGATACTTTCACTCCCTTTTTAAACGCATGGGTTTTTTTTTTTCCCTAGCAAACTCTGGTAGTTTTCCTGTAGAACATTAATTGCAAATCCAAAGATCATTGATAGTAAATTCATGGAGAAATAAGTAGCTCTTTTGTATTGTTCTGTTCCTGGAACTGGTCTACATTAAATTAGAACAGGAAATTCTATAATACAGAATGGAAACCTTTTTTAAGGCCCTGTCCACACTGCAACTTTCAACTTGAGTTTGTAACTAGTTACTAGCATGGTGTGTGACCAGGCCCCACATGTTTATCAATGCTGTGGCAGCCAAGAGCATTTTGCCCTTGCCAGAGGCCATGGCTGGCACATGGCTATCTTCTTGCAACCAGTTTGGCACCCTTTTATTTATGATTGTATTACAAGAACATCTAGAGGCCTCAGTCAAGGATCAGGGCTCCATTATGCCATGTGCTTTACAAACCTAATTTAAAAAAACACAGTCCCTTCCTCAGAGCTCACAACTAGGATTATGACAAGACTCAACAGTGGATGCAACAGAGGAATTGGAGTGAAAGGACAAAACGACAGTAAAGTAAATACATGTATGCATAATATTATGCATAAACACCATGGGGTTCTTTTTTGTGTTGAGTGTATCTCTTCTGTGTGATTAGTCTCCTTCCTCTCAGCTCTCTCTGCAGGAGGACATGCCTGAGTGCATTAGTCCACATGATGCAGGTTCTACTCTGTGAACAAGTCTACCAGGGCACTATATCTCCTACTGAGGTATTGGTGGATATCTGGCCAGAATGTTGTTTGTTTTTGCAGTAGATCCAGAGACCCCACTTAGGATCAGGGCCCCATTATGCCAGGCACTGTACAAACATATCCCAACACACTTTGTCCCTTCCTTGAAGAGCTTAAAATCTAAGAAACTGGTGCATTTCCCAGGAAGCACTGATGATTAGGCCGGATGCCAGCTGTGGGCAAACAAACATGGTTGTAATGGCAGAAAAGTGGCTGTGTGGATGCAAAGTGAACCATGTGACTTGTTGCAAGTTAAGGTGACCAAGCCTCTAACCAGTTACAAAATCAATTAAAAATATAGTTTGGACAGGGCCTAACTGTATAGAATGAAGTGATTTGTTTTTAGAAGTACTTGCATTGCTTTAGTTGACTTGGGCAGCATTTCCATCACCTGTTTCCAGAAGGCTTATTACTTGGCAGTAAAAGTTTTGTGTTTTGCTTTTGGTTTTTTTCCTCTTGTCTGGAACTTAGCACATAAGGATCTGGCCTAGGCAAGAGCAAGTTTTGAAATCCATTTCGTTGTTTTTAAGCTACAATGAAAAGTATCCCTCCTTTTCCTTCAAAACATTGACATTGCCTGCTTGACATATTCTTCATACTCTAAACATTCCCCCTGGGGTGAGGGGGAGAGGAAGTGGTTTAGAGAAAGGAAAGCTTCATTTAGTGGGCTAATCAGCCATGTGATTTTCAGCTGGGCTTTGCAGCTTGCTCTTGAGGGCCTTATTAAGCTACTCTGCCATTGCAACTGTGCTGGTTCTGTAGGTTGGCTGAGAGAGTTGAGCAATGCTGCCAAGAGCTGGTGGTATAGGGTAGCACCGTTGTAGTGGTTGGAACCTTTCAATCCCTTTTGGAGCTGGCCAAGAGAGAGAAGGAGCAGGTAAAGACCAGTCATGCAAAAGGCAATCCGTTAGTTTTAAAACACGCTTGAGATGTTTGATATCCATCCCATCATCTTACCCTGAACTCCTGAGGAGAGACTCTGGGTTACTGGCAGGAGAGAAACATGATCTGTGATTCACGCTGCTTATTGAAGGTCACTGACTAATAAGGTTAACCCAGGCATGGCCTTGGATGAGGTCTCTGATTTTTGTATTTCTCAGTTCTGGCTGAGATGAAACTGTTGTGGAAGAAGAAGAGAGCCCTGTCTTTCTCTGGTCACTACTCCGAGTGCAGAGTTAAGATAGTTTGAGTGCCTAAGAATAAATTGGCATACCTTCAAACACTGGGGTTTATTGTAAATTTAACCTTAACTTCAATTTTCTGGCTTTCTAATGGTGTGGTTTTTCTTATAAGGATTTTTATTCCTAAATTACTGATATGCAGTCAACCTTCATTAAGCTATTTATCTGGGAATAAAATTGTGTTGTATAGTAGCACCTGTTTCTTTCTTTCAAAGAAAAGGGCAGCCAATGCTAGTGATGCACTGAGAGTTTTAATAAATACGTATAGCCAGTCATCTTAACAAACCCTAAATATACTGCTACTGGGAAGCTAAGAATTTACCACTTAAAATCCATTTCATTATGGGATATGTCCCACTTGTTTAGAGGGGGTAGGAAGAATAGAATGTCAGAGGCGTGGGCAACATTTGGAACAATGCGTGAAGTGTGTGAGTTTATATAGTACCTGTACATAACAACTTTATTGAAATAAAACAAATATACAAACTAAAATAAACCTAAACCTCTTTATTTTATTTATTTAACTGCATGTTGCCACTTCTTCAAGGAGAAAAGAGTAGCTTACATTTTATAGCTCTCTAGAGAGGTAGGAGGGAGCAAACTGAAACTGAGGCACAAGTTCCCCTACTAATTCAGCTATACCTCTACCCAGATATAACATAAATTCGGATATAACGCGGTAAAGCAGTGCTCCAGGGGGGTGGGGCTGCGCACTCCAGCGGATCAAAGCAAGTTCGATATAACGCGGTTTCACCTATAACGCAGTAAGATTTTTTGGCTCCCGAGGACAGCATTATATCGGGGTAGAGTTGTATCTGGAGAACCGGAGGAAAAAGTTCATCTGAAAAGTTAAAATCAGACTGAGAGATAGAAATATAAAATTTCTGTAAATTGTGAAAGGGAAAACTTAAAATAATTTAGACCCTCTTATTTATATAGACACATTCTCGTTAAAATAGTGTCTAAACTTGTTGAATTAAAACTACAAATCTGCAAATATTTGTCTGTGATGGATCTTGAAATTAACAGATTTTTTTTATTTAATAGTTTGTGGCTCAGAACCACTGTTGTTGATTACAACTCAGGGGAGAAGGGAATAAGAAAAGAACCAGAGCTAGAAGATAAGAACACTGTTTAATGTATAAATTCACCATACAAATACTGGCTATTTTACCTTTAATTCTATTGAGACAAGGTAGAGAATGAAAAGATGGAGCACCCATTCCAGTGGGTGTAGGTCTAAGCAGGCGTGACTTTCACATTTTAGGATAAAGGAAACAGTTAGTTATATTACCTGTGTAAGTAAGTGTATACACGTTAGACCTCCTAGGAGAAGGAATGACCTTTTATAAAGAACTTTCTCAGTCTTTGAAAGAAGTGTTGTGGTGTTTCTGTTTGAAACAGAATGAAACTGAGGACTTCTGGGTTGAGTCTGAGAGATATAAGCAGATTGAGAATGAGTATTTGTCGTTTGTTTGGCTTGCTGTTTATTTTAAACTGTTTATTATTATGGAGTTGTACTAGTGACCCTATGGACTATATAACCAACTGTTGAAATAGATACAGTAACTCCTCGCTTAACGTTGTAGTTATGTTCCTGAAAAATGCGACTTTAAGTGAAACGATGTTAAGCGAATCCAATTTCCCCATAAGAATTAATATAAATGGGGGGGGGGGGTTAGGTTCCAGGGAAATTTTTTTTCACCAGACAAAAAGCTATATATTATATAGATATACACACAGTATACGTTTTAAACAAACAATTTAATACTGTTCACAGCGATGATGATTGTGAAGCTTGGTTGAGGTGGTGAAGTTAGAGGGTGGAAAAGGGTGGGATATGCCCCAGGGAATGCCTTGCTGCTAAATGATGAACTAGCACTCGGCTGAGCCCTCAAGGATTAACACGTTGTTAATGTAGCTTCTCATCAAGGCAGTACGAACACGAGGGAGGGGAGACAGCATAGCAGACAGAGACAGACACACCTTGTGTGTGGGAGAGAGAGAGAGATGCACACTGCCCCTTTAAGTAAGCTGACCCACTCTTAAGTGCATTGTCTTTTTAAGTGGATCAGGAAGTTGAGACAGCAGCTGCTGCCCCAAGCTCTCTATGTCTCTCTCCGTCTGTGTCCCCTCCCTGCTCTATATGGAGAAGGGGTAAGTGGGGTGCAGGAGCAGGGGGGAGGGGGACACCCTGACATTAGCCCCCTCCCCCCCCCCCCCTGCACAGCAAACAGGAATCTCTGGGAGCAGCTCCAAGGCAGAGGGCAGGAGCAGCACTTGGCAGTGGGGGGAGGGACAGCTGAACTGCCGGCAATTGATAGCCTGCTGGGCGGCTACAGCACAGGGAACTTAGGGGAGCAGGGAGCTGATAGAGGGAGCTGATAGTGGGGCTGCCGTTCCACCCTGGTTACAAGCTCCCACCAGCTAGCTGCAATGGGCTGCTCTTCCTGCAAGCAGTGGACAAAGTAGGCAGCAGCCAAACAATGTTAGAGGGGAGCATTGCACAACTTTAAACGAGCATGTTCCCTAATTGATCAGCAACGTAACAATGAAACAACTTTAACCGGGACAACTTTAAGTGAGGAATTACTGTAATGCAAATAAGAATTGTAAATCAATTATCAAGAAAACAGACTTTTTTGGAGAGTGGGGGAAAGAGACGGAAATAATGAATGTCTTCTCCTCCTAAGAATATTTTTGAGGGTGTGGAAAGGGACTGTAAATAATGCTTTTTAACTAAAACTGTGTCTTGGGTGTTTTATTAAAATTAAAATGTGTGCGCATAAAAGCAAAGGGACTGTAGGGGGAGGGATAGCTCAGTGGTTTGAGCATTGGCCTGCTAAACCCAGGGTTGTGAGTTTAATCCTTGAGGGGGCCACTTAGGGATCTGGGGCAAAAATCAGTACTTGGTCCTGCTAGTGAAGGCAGGGGGCTGGACTCAATGACCTTTCAGGGTCCCTTCCAGTTCTATGAGATAGGTATATCTCCATATATTTATATTTAGAGTAACAAATTCTACCTTTGTGCTTTAATAGCATACTTAAAATGTTCCTATGAAACGAATCCTGAATCAGAAATTGATGACTTCATGTGAGCTAGTGTACTTGCATTATAAGAGCATGACTGTGATGTCTATTCACTTAAGATTGCTGATGTGATTCTGCCTCCTTAGTGAATTTCCGTCTATATCTGGGGCTCCTCTGTGTTGTGAAATGTGTACTGCAAGTTCTTTGAATGTAGAAAGTCAGTTCCTGAACCAGATTGGCTTGGGGGAGGAGGGAGGATGAGATTTTGCATTTGTAGGTATATATTGAGGTATATAAATAAAGTTCATGAAAGCAAATGGACTGGCTACCTTGGGTTAAGCAACATGTATTGCAGGCAGGCACTGTACAAGCTTTGTCTCTTGAATATTCACCCCAAACTCTGCCAGTGCACTTCAGTACTAAATTTCAACACCTTTTCTGGTTCAACCAAAGATCTCTTAAGTAGAGGAGGCTAATTATGCCAAATTATATGATGGCTTTTTGTTATGTTTGCAAACAGGGAAACTAGGATGATGCAACAAAATTCATCTTTGTGATAGCTGTGAAAGCGACTTCATTATTTTATTCAGGCCATCTTGTGACCCAGAAATCTTAATGTCTTGTGAAACTTTCACAAGATGGCTAGTTTCACATCAAAATATGAAAAAAAATGGGATTTCATCATGTTTTGATGCAAAAATTTGATCTTTGACTAAAATTTTGTATTTTTTTGAAAGTGTGTTTGGGGGGGGGGGGGGGGGGAATGTTTGACAGTCAAGGAACTTACTTGGAGCATTTTATTGATTGTGTCAAAACCTCCAATTTTTGAGAAAGGTAGTGGTTGTAAATGCTTTACACTACAGTCAGGATTTGAACTTTGGTCTCCAGCAATGAAAGTCTAGTGTCCTTGTCCCCTGCATTTCTGAACTTCATAATTTTTCTAACTGATCAAGGTAGAAAGTTTCTTGAATGAAAACCTTATTTATTTATTCCCCGCTAGGTGGTTTCTTGTAATGTAGTGGGAGACTCCATTCAATTTATTGTTCATGTGTCACATACTTCACCTACTACCACAGAATGTCAGTCATACAGTGTGAAACTGTCTCCACTTCACTTACAGGTAACGTTTTTTAATTATATCCCTTGCTAAATATTACATTCAGATCCAAAAAAACTAATTGGCCCAATTTTTTTACATACACTGTAGTCAAACTGAAAGATTGTTTTAACTTTTGAACCTCATAGTTATAAAATGCTTAAATATTTATGTTAGCGCTGTCCACAAAAGTTGGCTTTTTTTTTTTTTAAGGTACTTTTGTCCCAATTCATTGTATAATTAAAACTAAATATTTGTGAAGACAATGCAAATAAATAATATTGCATTTATAATTGTGGACCATGAAAATACATTTTTTTCCCATGAGTCTGATGTTCTCAACCAGGGGGGGCCGTCAGCAGGTTTCAGGGCCAGCGTTAGACTTGCTGGGGCCCAGGGCAGAAAGCCAAAGCCCCACCACGTGGGGCTGCAGCCGAAGCCTGAGCAACGTAGTTTCGCGGAGGCATCTGTGTCATGGTGCCCCAGGCAATTGCCATGCTTGGTACCTCTTAATGCTGGCCCTGTCTTTTATATGTAGAAAACCAGTTGTTGTGGCACAACTGGGCCATGGAGTTTTTATAGTATGTTGGGCCGGGGGGAGGCTCAGAAAAAAAAAGGTTGAGAACCCCTGCCCTAGGCTATATTAATAAGAAATTATTTCACCTTTTAGTGTATTCTATGTTCTTCTTAGGCCACTATCATTCGAGATTTATTAAATTAAATGCTGGTATCATTCTGACTTCAGTGATACTGCACTTGTTTACAGCAGTGATGAGCTTTGTCCAGTGCTTCTCTTAAAAGATATTTACAAGTCTGCAGATGACAAAAACTAACCTCTGTCATTTCAACAGCTGGAACTCTCTCTGAAAGAAAAAGGAGAAGACATTGAAGTTGTGTGGTCCTTCCTTAATGCCTCTGAAACTAATATTAAAATCCAGCCAACAGCAGTGCAGGAGGTCAGTCAGTAAGTTTTTTATTTTTGTTTGTTTGTCTGTCTGTCTTAACCAGTCCTCTAAAACAAAACTAAAGGACACATTTTGAGTCCCCTCTTAAGCACAGTAGCACCCTACATGGATACTAAAGTGTTAAACCTAAGTTGAGATAGAGTTGACCAGTTTTGACAGAGAAATCTTTTGTTGGGTCATTGGTTTCATCCAAATCTAAAAGCATGAAAAATCTTGCTTCTTAAATAAAATTATTTCTCAAAGCATTTTTGGACATCTGTAATAAGTGTCCCAATCAAAATATTTTTTTAAGTCACTGTATGGATCGCTTGCATTAGTACTAGAAGAGGACAACCTTATTTCAGAGTCCACTTGACAAATGACTAGTTTGGCGGCGGCGGGGGAGGGACTAAGAATCTTAAGGCTTTCCATAGTGCTAAGTACTTGATTTGTGCTTTCTGGTTTGCATGTGTTATCTTTCAAGTTACAAATTAATTTTCTCATTATTTGGGACCTTCCTCTCCTCACTCCACTTTTTATTTATCAGATTAGAGAAATTGTATCTTAACAATGGGAAATGGTTCCCTTGTGCTTTTTTTTTTTTTTTTTTTTAACTATACACCTACTTTTTAGTGTCTTGCACTGTAACTTGTGTGGTGTTTTTTCCCTTCTTAAAAAGTTGACTTCAGTGAATGTTGGAGCTTCTTCTGAGGAATTGTATTGACTGAATGATGACTGGGGGAGGGAGGCAGGGGGATATTTAATTTTATTATCATGGATATACAACTAAATGTATTAAAAAACGATGTATGACAAAACACTCTTCAGAACACTAAAAAAAAAAAAAAAACTCAGATTTATTTTGCATGTGTGGCAACCTAAATGACCTTAATCACTGGGAATAATATCTAATATCCATGTATTAAACAGTCACTAAGTACTTATTGACAGGTCATAATGTCTCTGAAACAGTGTGGCCCGTTGTATTTAAAAACTCTGCTTTTTGAAAAGTGCTTGACTGTGGATTTACAAGTGTAGTTATATTGCATTGGGTGTTGTACATGCTCTTAAAAAGAACCTGTAAAAGCTAAGTAACTAAAGGCTTCATTCTCTCCTTAATGTTAATGGGAACTGAGTATGCATCTTATAGGTCTAGAGTCGAAAACCCCCAAAATATTGACATTTATGAATGAACTACAGTTTGGAAATTGTTTCGGCTCCTTCATTTAAATGACATTTTCCCTCTGTTCCTTATTTTTTTTTTAAGTAAATACTTTTACATGCAAAAATAATAATGATCATCACTTAAAGAACTTATCTTCACAGTGCTTCATACACACCAGTTAAACTGGATGAAATAAGAAGATTCTAGTTTACACTGACAAAAGCTGGATGACTCTGAATCACACTTGGCACTCTGTACTTGGCTGACTTTTAGTATTGCAGATGATATATATGGCCTTGCATAGAAACTGCACTACCCAGTCACAAAAACAATATTTTACCGTTAGGAACGACAGTTCTAACATATTCTAAAAATGACGTGTTAAGGGTTCTTGAGGTAACTTATTCAGATGCAGTTTTAATGTTTCCTGTGTTGGATTCCAGAAAGAGGGTTGAATGTAAACGTTTACAGTTGAGGATGGGGCACAGATAATGGAGTTCAAGTTTTTTCAAACATTATATTCTACTTGAAGCCAACAAGGAAGTGGAATATAATCTTTTTGAAAAAACGTTTATATGAACCTAATTCCCCCACAACCCCAAATGCCCATGATATTGGGTATCCGTCTTTCCAAGCCTTTACATTTGGAACTAAACTTGGGTGAGTGGAGGTTTTTTGTTTTAAGTGAACTGCTTCACACATGGACATGAAAGCATCAGAAAATGTCAATGAGTATCAGGCTAATTATAACAATTAGCATAACTTAGTTCATAGCAAAATTAGAACTCGTTGGAATTTTTCAAATTTTCGAGAACAGTTTCCATTAAACTAAATTTTCATTGAAAGTGGAGGGGAAACACCCAACAAGAGGGGTTGGTTGGTTGTGGTTTTTTTTGTTTTGTTTTCGTTTTGTTTTTTAAACTTTTTTTGGGGGGGGGAGGGTTTCCAAGCAGGTGTAACAAAGGTTTGTTATCCATACACTTACCAAATTGATACGGTGACACTGCCAAAGTGGACACTGGAAGTTTAATTGTAGCAGTCTTTTGGGGTATTTTTTTAAAATATTGGAGCACAACAACATGCAACTTATAGAAATAGGCCCCTTAAGTAGGTTACAAGAGAGAGAAGCAGCAGTACAACATGAGAAAAATAAGGTTGAAGGGTGGAGGGTACTTTATATGAACAATATCTACACATCTTCAGAGTGTGACATCATAAAGCGGGTAGTGAAACAAGATGTATATACATTGCAGATTGGGATTGTTCAAACACACCTAATACTACCCCTCAACAAGTTAATGGTCAAGAAGGAACTCTGACTTTAAATTTATTAGGCCTATGGTGAAGATTTGGTTGTCACTTGCACCAGTGCAGGAATATTTCATTAACTTGTGCTAGTTCTAAAGCACCGTGTAGGTTTGCAAAATGAAGTGGTCAGTCCTGGGATGTGTTGCGCGTTCTTGGCTCTCATCAAAGTTGTTGAGAGTTGATGGAACTCAGTCAGACTGTTGCAGGACACTCATCATCTGCCAGGATTAGGTCTTTCATCCCCTTTATTGTGATCATCTTGAGTTGCGCTAGTGAGTTGTTGGGATATTTCTGCCAGGAATGCAGCTAAATAGCTTAGCTTCTGCAACAGGGCCTAGTTAATATCCATTTTTTGGTCTCTAACTTTTTGCCAGAGAATGTGAGTCCTCCGATTGCGTACAAAATGGCTGTGTGTTTCCACCTGACCACAGCACACATCAGGATACTCTTTCCATCTTACTGTAAGAATCAGGAGACATGAATGTTTCATATAAGACTCAGTAAATTGGCTCCATTCCTTTAAAAGTTATGGTCTGTAACAGTATAATCTTTCTAAATGAGATATCAGTTTGAGACACTCCTCTATATATTTTCTTCTATAGGTATTCTCTGTCATGTAGGTCTATGCAGTGTCTCCATGTATAGCCTGATTTACATCTCTGTACATTAGAAATTGAACCTCTTCTAGATTCTTCCTGGACCACTTCCAGTGCTCTTGAATTTCCTAATTGCTGTCTATGTGCAATAATTTAATTAAATATCCCCTCAATTCCAAATATTGAAGAAAACTGAAGCATAGAATAGCATGCTGCCACTGATTGATTGTAGCTAAAAGTAAACCTCCTATATCAGATCACTGGCAAGCAAACAATTACTGCATCGGTGTGCTTTATAAGTAACCTCAAAGCTACCATGTATAAGCAAAATTTTGCAATGCATTTTGATGCCTGCAGTATAAAGGACCGAGCATAAATGAGTGCTGCAATGAACCATCAATATCTGGAAAGCATTTCTTGGATGACAAGCGGATGGGAATGATAGCTTAAGTTTCCTGACTGGAGCTGCCTGAACAGTCAGACAGAACTATTTTAGGCATGACTGAGGTTTGGGCTAAAGAAGTACCAAAATGATCATTGTGTGCTGAATGGAAGTTGCCAAATTTCAGCTAATGGAAGTCAGCATAGTTCCATACAAGTCAGTGGTACTAGTTTGATAATCTGACCTGCTGTCTGTGTATACTGTATTGCTATCCTGGTTTTGCCCAGGTGGTAAAAGAGCTTTAACAGCATAACAAATATGTATGAAATCATGACTGAGGTTCTTTTTGAGGTGAGTAATGACTTTACCCTTTCCATTTCTCTTTCAGAGCTGCTTGTGATTATAATGCATATATTGTGAATGTGGGTTTTTTATTTTTAATAGCTAAGATCAGTGACTATTTGTCTGACATTTCAGTATGTCTGGCTATTGGCACTAGACCTGCTCTCATTCTTACAACATTTGCTTTATGATATAGTGATAGACTGCTTAGTCAGCTGTCCAGTGAATTTCTGCATTAATGTTTATTCTCCTGATTAATTAGAAGCATGATTCTTTTTTCTCTCCTACTAGGGCCAGATGGCTGAGACATGTGCAATATTTGAGCCATTCAGAGATGTTTTCCAGAATCTAATTAGTTTAGTTTCACCATCTGTAATTTTGAGTACAAAACCTACAGATATAATAAAGGAGGTACAGGTAAGTCTTGTATACATTTAAATAATTTTTGCAACCTGTTTTCTGTTAATATTAATATGTCTAGTCAGAGGACACTCATAATTCTGTGAATGAACTGCAAGTTTAACACTGTGCTGTTTGATCAGAAATCATAGAGAAACACTTTAAACCACTTAACCTCTGGTACAGGAGGATTTGACCTTAAAATTCCTAGGTGACTACTTTGTTGCTAATGCTGCCCTGTAATTTTTAATATCAAATGCCTTTTACCATGTTGATCTGTGTGAGTATACAAGGTATTGAGTATTTTATATAGCTGATCCCTTGTGTCTTGTTTCCTTTTCACAGAATGTACAAAACATAGGAACTCTCCCCCAGGGCACCAGCCCTCCGAAACCTCCAAGGATTCATGAACTAAAACTGCTAGTGAAGAACATTGTAGCCACACTGACTGATCACAGTGCTGCAGGTAAAACAAAATCAACTGCAGACAGATATTCTTCTTCAAAGTTGTAAGGAGGGTGACTCTTTGACCTGTAGTGGTCATACTTTCAGACACAACAAAATATAATGAATGGATCAGATAAATCCTCATTCTGATCTGTTGCCTCTGCGGCACTGGTGGGCCTTTTTCCTCTCCATCCTCTCCACTTCCAAGAACCTGTAGGTGGGGCAGAGTAACTGATTTATTTTAATTTGAATAATTAAAAGACTCATGCACAAAGCTAAGTGTCCTGGCACATAATATTGTAACAAAATAAAACCCCAGAAGCACTAATTAATGATTCCAAAAAGGAATCCTGCCAAGCTCCTTTCCATCCTGCCATTGTTATTAGAAGCAGACCCTCAGCCCTCCCCCAAAACCCTATGGAGCAGATTCCTTTGCAGCATGCCCAGGTCACCAATTTTGGGTTATTTCAAACCAAGAGGGGTTATGCACTGTGCACATCATGACTCTCTCCTTCTACACCCCCAGCAAACCATAGTCAATAAACTGGTTTGTAGCACTGCTCAGTACCATGAAGCACTCCTGCAATTAAGGGGGGGCGGGGAATTCTGAGGCAGCAGAAGATGAAGTAATTGATAAGGTGGCTATAATGGAGTTGCACTGCCGAGGAGCAGAGGGCCCTGTTGCCAATGTGAAGGCATAGGATCTTTATCAAGATGGTTCTGTCCTTTGGCAAGATCTGTACAGTCCTCAAGGGTGGGTGTGGGAAGAGGAGGACATAGAATTCAGTGCACTGGTTGTGTTCAATTCTGTGTGTATGTAGGGTGGGGGTAATCATTCTGTTAGGGGCGTGGAGAGAACTCTAAAGGAAACCTCCTTAGTTCTCTTTCCTCAGTCAGGGCCTCTCCCCTGCAGGTCTGTTGGTGGGAAGGGGTTGAATATGGCCCAATATGAATTGTTGTTATGCCCAGAGATTTCCAAGAAAATCTCTGGGCATTGTATGGTCTGAAAAGTCACATTTGCAGGAGAGGAGAGGAAACAAAAGGAAGTAAAACACCTTGAAATACCCTTATTGTAGTGTCACTTTTTAATACAACTTTCCACTTAAATCATTTGGAAGCTCTGCTTAACAACTGATGACTCAATATAGGTGTTATAATCCAACTCACGGTCTTTTCTGTTTGGTTGAATATTACTTGGTATGACACTGGTTTAGCTGTGCTCTGAGTAATTTGTTAACACTAGAACCCTTCATGAGATGTTTATTCAGGCAGGGATACTTTATTGAAGAAAGACATACTTTTCCTCCCAAAAAACAGTCATTGGCTTGGGGCACATGGAGCATGAAGCCAAGCAGGAGGTCACTGCCCACTAAAACAAGTTGTGCTGCTTATGTTTGGGGCGTAGGCTTTCAACCTGTCTTTCAAGTGTCTAAGCTTCTTCATGATCAAGCCTGCCTGCTTCATTGCTCCAGGGCTAGAGCACCAACTAAGCTTTTCAGAAGTGTCTGAATTCTGATCAGTGCCCTTTGGGTGCCTCAATTTTGTGTGTGCCCAACTTGAACCTTTCAAAAGGGTGCTTTTTCAATGTAGATTCCCCCCCACCCCCGAATATGGGTGATCGGAACTTTCTGAAAATCTTTTAACATGCCTCAATCTGAGCATCCAGAATCGCTAGTTACTTAACAAACAGATGCCCCTTTTTGAAGTGCTTCAGGTTGGGTGTAGTCTTGGTCTCTGTGGCTTTTGTAGTGTAAATAGGCAAGAATTCAACAGTCATTAAACCCTGTGCTTGGGTTTGGCTCCCTACTGAGAATGGGGTGAATCCTTAGCACTGCCAGGCTAAGGGATTTTTTTTTTCCGAAAGTGACTGTTATTGGATCACATTAAAACATTTTTAAAACATAGTTTGTTTTCGCCATTTGTAGGCAGGATTAAGCTGAGTCTGACCATGTTGTTGGAGCCCTCTGTAGCATGATTGATTAACCTGCATAGTTTGTTTCTTTGCCTATGTTTCTAGATAGGCTAAAACATGAATTTTTAACCTGTCCATAACAGGGTTTTACTACATTAATATGCCTGTATGAGTTTGTATAGTGAGTTCTAACTGGTAAATAACCATTGTTTACAATTACTTTGCTAGTAGGCTCTACATATGTTTTTTGTATAGGTTGTCTTATGTGTATGGGGTTCAGGTAACACATCTGGGATTGATCTAATATAGCAAATTTTATTTATATCTATCTATATCTATCTATCTAGATAGATAAATATAGATATATAATATAGATTCAATATATCTTTGTCTATTTCTGTGCACAAACCTCACTGAATTTGTGTATGTTCTTGCCTGTTGTCAGAGCCCCAAAGATGAAAAATAGTGACTTTTGGCATTGTAAAATTTACTCCTTTTTTTGTGTGTGTTTTTTTAGAAGCTATAAATAATACCAACTGTTCCTACTTGGAATAACAGTAAAATTATTCACTTTTACCTTCAACTTGTTAGTAGACATTTCTGTATTAGTAGAGCAATGCTCTTGAGTGGCATGATCTCTTTAAAAATAGCAATCTGTAAATCCATTGTTCATTAACAATGTGGTGGTCAATATCTGTTAACACAAGAAATAGTAGTTCCTCAAGAAACAGTTAGACCATCAGTAAGGATTTCAAATATTTATCTAATTTTTGTTTTAAGTGACTTGAAACCATGTAACTGTTCACATAACTTCTCTTAGTAGCTACATTTCCGATTGTTATTACTCTCCTCCTCTCTCTAGCTCTCGTGATTTTGTTACACCGACACTCATAGCTCGTGGTCTTTAAATTAAAGTGTAAGGTCTTTGGGGCCGGGATTGTTTCTTTTAGTATGTTTATACAACACGTTGGGCAAGGATGCCCCAATCTTGACTGGGCACTAATGTAATACAAACAATAAGGGGTAGGAAGAAGGAATAACGCTAGGGTGTGGGGGGGCTTTTTTTGTTTTCCAGTGGTCTAGACAAAAAGGTGTCTCGTACTTGCTCAAGAGATATAGGCTTATTGATGACTTGAGGTCAACAGTTGGATATTTGTTCCTTTCCTTTCCCAATACAGGCAGCATAAATCCAGTGTGTGTAACTCAGTTGAATGATCCTCTACAGAAATTTTCCAGCTCTGTAGCCAAAAATGGCACTAACCTCTCTTGGAAAGAGGAGTTCATCTTGTAAGTAACCACCAACATAACATTTTCTATTAAATGTTTCTACAGTCTCAATTTATATAAGACGTTGGAAGAGGAACTGTGTTTTTAACGTATCTTATTAGTTTTATCTCAGATGATTTGACACTGGCAGGGCATAACTGGTTTTTAAAGCAATTTTCTGGTACTGAGTTATAGCAAGTGTTAACATGGATTTCAGTCATTTTTATTTTTAATTGAGGATTGTTGGGCCTGGGATTGGGAAGTACAGATGTGTGGTTTCTAATAGAGAGGGATGATGGCAAGTACCTGAGGGCATTCCTACACCACAGTCTTAAGTCAACCTATGTTAGGTCAGTTTACAGCCATCGCAGTAATTACTGTGATGACTGATATCCACACTATCCTCCTCCTGTCAGTGGTGTGCGTCCTCACTAGGAGCGCTTCTGCCGACTGAAGAGGGGTAGTGTGGGCGTTCTGAGAGCCGGGGCTCTCAGCTCCACACAGCTCCCTGCCGGGAGCCCAACTGCTCCCTGCTCCCACCTGGGAGTGAGGGGAAGCCACCTGGGGCTTCTCGCCTCTGGAAAGGAGATCCATGCCTTAGTCCAGTTGGTTGCCGTGCTCCCAGTGGGGAGCCTGGGCAGCAGCCCAAGCCGAGAGCCTGGATGACAGCCCAGCTTGGAGCGGAGACCTGGCAGCACCACTGGGGAGCTGGCTTTCTTGTCAATTCACAGTTCCAGCTGAGCCGTTAAAATGGCAAGACAGCCGATATAAGGAACGCAGTGTCTACACAGACACTGTGTCGCCCTAACTACGCCGACATAATTCCACCTCCAAAGTGTCGGACTTATATCTGTGTAGTAGGGCACATGCATCCGCGGGAGCAAGATTGTAATGTAGACACTGACATAAGCTGCCTTATGTCAACCTATGTAGTGCAGACCAAGGCTTAGTCTGTAAAAGGGCGTTTGGTATAGTTCTATTGTAAGTGCAGGTCACAGAGCGGTATGCTGTGGAGTGGGAATGGAAAAAGAGATTACAGACAGTTTGGATAAAGCTGTTATCTGATGGTACTCTGAATGACACAGCAGCTGCTTAGGTGATCACTATCAGCTTCAGTGTTGTTTAGGAGAAAGCCACTGATAGGGCCAGAGGCTTTTTACTTTACTGGCTAAAAGGAAGGGAGGGAGCAGAAGCAGGTTGTCATAATAAGTGAGGAAAAGAGGTGCTGCTGTGTGTACTGTGCTGTAGGTGCTTCTCTTCTCCTAGAGCATTAAAGCAAAAGGTGTTGGCTCCCATTGGGATCTCCCTCTCCCTTACAGCCTATCAATAGCTTTCCTACCCCAATCCATTTTAGGAACCTTCCCTCCTTTCTACTCGCTTAAAAGAAAAGTGCCACTTGCTGTGTCACCCTGTGTCCCCCTCACCCCGGAGTCACTGTACAGCATCCATTGTCCCTTTTGCCCTCCTAAAAGGGCAGAGAGGCAAATTTCATGAAGACCTGATCTAGGAGAGGATTAGGTCAGTGCTACTGCTGGGACTGGCAGCTGCTTTACCACCTGCTTGAGGGGTGGAGTGAACTGGCTATCTGTTCTTCAGTCCTAGGGGGGGTGGGGGTGGGGGGCACTGCAGTGCACAGCTCTGCAGAAGGGAAGCTTTCTCCCTCCTCATTGTTCCCGGCGCTGCATGTGTAGGTGCATGCATAGCACAGGTAAGAGCATTGCGAAGCAGCAGCAGTGGACGGGTTGTGAAGGAACTGTCGAGTGAGATAGTTTAGGATGTGGAGAATGCAGCTCCCCCGATTTGAATGTATGATAAACGTTCTGAATTTGACCTAGCCAGGAAGAGAAGCTTGGTAAATATTTCTTAATGCAACCCTGAAAATCTTGTTTTTATCATGCACTTAAATGGGAGTTGTGTCCAGTGCATGCTGCTGTATGTTATCTTGCTGTTATGTTTAGTGAAAAATAATTAGCCTTGAAGCTGCCATCGTAAGACACCTAAAGTCTAGTGACTTATGTTCTTTTCTGTGCTTGGTCTCATCACTGGAAAAATGTCTCTCTCATCAAAGACAGTGGCCTTGCAAGGCCACGGACCAGACACTCTGCCATGACAATGTGATTCTTTGCCACCACGTTGCTGGGATGAGCACGATGCAACTCATTTGCATTAGTAATAGAAATAAACCAGTTGGATAGCATCTTTCATCTTGAAGTATCTCAAAGTGCTTTATGAACTTCATATACTGTATTTGCAGATGGCTTCAGCTATCTGTTAGTGGGGAGTTCAGGTGAGCAGGATGACTGTTTTAACTGGAACTTGGTCATTACACCATAGTTATGGTATGCTTTCCATAGTGATGGGTGCTCTACATGTGCCTAAGGTAGATAAGTTTGCAAAGTCCTATGAGTTCTTTAATGATGATAAGTAGTCAGGATTTGGTCTATGTCTGCACTGCACACCTTACAGCAGCACAGTTGTGTCGCTACAGCAGTGCCACTGTAAGGTATGCAGTGTAGCTGCTCTTCGTTGGCAGGAGAGAGCTCTCCCGCCGACAAAATAAAACCACCCCCAACGAGGTGCATTGGCTCAATGGGAAGAGTGCCACCTACTGAATTGCCAACACTACCCCCCTTCCTGCTGGCACCCTGTGTCTTCCTTGGAAGTGTGGCTCAGTACTGAGAAAGTTCCCACCTGAATAGAAGCATGTTTCCAATATTGAAACATGTTTCCAATATTAAAGTTCTCCACTGAACTCTTATAATAATTGCAGAAGGAACAGAATAAAGTTTAGAGGAAATTTCACAATATCCATATACTTTAACAGCCCAGTTGATAGATTTGGGTGTGATGTTTTTGTTTTTGTCTTTTTTTGTATATTGCATAAAGCACCACAGGTTGTACCAAAAGCAGTTGTGTCTAATGATTCATGCTGGTCATGTCATGTTCTTTACTCTCATCCTCTTACAGTGTCCCTTCATTCTAACTTTGTGCCAAAATAATATGGACCCTTAGAGAAAATACCAGAGGGAAGCACCAATGATTTCTAAATCAGGAAGTTTCACAGTCAGTGGTCAGATATCTATGCCAGAAAACTATTTATTTAAATGTAATATTTACCTCCCTTATTAAAATAATCTTACATTGGCAGGATGCTACTCCACTTTTAATAGACCACTGGATCTATTCCATCTTCTTGACTTATGAATTTGGGAGCTGTTGTTGTCTCAGCTGTACGCAGAAGGAATTGTTTCTCAGTCTTCGGGTAGAGCACAGACATGGAAAACTTCATCCTGAAAGGCAAAGTTTATAACCAACTGAAAAAAGGCCCTCTTATAATGGAAATGTTTTGGCAATCCTAAATTTAGTGAGGAAGCTAGATAGACCCAAGGTTAGGCTCCACCCCAGCATTCCCTTCTCTCAAGTTAATTGAATTCAAGAAGTGGGTCACATGTTTTCTCGACAGTATTTGAAAGGCAGAGTGCTGTAAATGCTGTCTAATACTTTCCACTGGCTGGACAATAACACTGCACTGTATGGTGCAATATGCAAGGTGTGAGACATAATATAAAGCCTTCTGTAAAGAGTGATTTAAAATGAAGATGGGAGAAACATTCTCCGTACAATAACTGGAGTAGGAATGAAAATTCCTTGAAGGCTTGACATCATTTTATTTATTCCACAGTGAATTAAATGCCAAATCAAAAGAGTTACAACTGCAGATCTTGGAAGATGGGAAATTGGATAGTAAGTACTGCAACTGAATTCTTTTGCATGGTCCCCTCATGGGCATTACTGAGCTCTTGAAATAAATCCTCTTTTGTTTACACAGTTGAATAAGATCATGTAAGAAACTGTCAGAAGTTGGCAGTTAATGTAGACCTGTTCTGCTGACTAACCCTGGTAGTCAGATAAGGTACGCCTCAATAACTCCAGGAACAAAGAAGGCTGATAGTCGCTGGGGCAAGAGACCCTTGAAAGAGGAGCCGGGAGTTTTGCTGGCTTGGACCATTTTAAAAAAAAAAAAAAAAAGCCAACCCAGGAAGAATTTCAGAATTAAATTTATGTTTGTAAACCCAGTTCTGCTTTAGGGCTTAGCTACTTAAATTATAGATCAAAGGCTAACTCCAGTGGCAGTTTTAGATGACCTCCTGCTGCGAAGTGGGTATGGGTTTTTCACTGTTTCCTTCTGTCCCCAAACATTGACACAAGGGATGGCACTGTGCAAATGCTTTTCTGTATTCCTGGGTTTTGCTTTATTCTTTAACAAAGCCCTAAGGCAGGACTGAATGTACAAACAAGACTTGAGTCTGAGTGCTGTCTTGAGCTTGGCTGGTGTTTTTTTATGGTTCCACCCTCTAATATTCTCTTGCCTTAGACGTCTCATGTTTTATGTTCCTGAATGGGCTTATGAGACCCACTTACTGTTTGGCAGGTCAGCAGAACAGTCCTGGACTTCTACACAGAGTGCAAAAGTTTGACTGCTTACCATAGCCCAGAAACAAACTCTTGTGCCACTTGTGTCTGGAACTGCTTACCAACTCTGAATAGTCTTGTGTTTATAAAACTTCAAATAAAACTTCTTGTGCCAGAGAAGGGAAAAATACATCCACCTCTTCTGAGTGGATGAATAGAAAGAAATCCCGACTAATCCTGACTTCCCTTCTGCCCAAAACTGGCTGTTTCCAAGCACATAATCCCACTTATGTATAATCAAACTGACTGTAGGGAATTGTACGCTACTATACCTGATTCTACCATCCCAGCGTAGAGCTCCTTATCCCTACTTACAAGAAAAATGTTTCCATTGCAGAGTAACTCTCTACTTCATCAGGAGAGGCGCAGGCATATTTTTTTCTTCTTCTTGGATTGCTGGCGAGGGGATGGCGTAGGCAGGTTTTAAGATCAAAGGGAATGTTCAGTTTCCCAACTTTTACATGAGCCATGGTACTTTGTACCAGAGCGGTATTTCTCTATCCTAGTGCTTCACTTTAGGTAGAAACTCTAAATTTCGTGTTACACCTCATGGGTCAGTTTGCTAATATGTCAGGATTATTCTGTAAAAATGGAAGCATCCTTTCTGAGTCTTAGCTATTCTCTTCTATTTCAGTATTGTCAAATTTAGTTAACTTTAGATTAATAATGATTCAAAACCAAGTTAGAGTACTGTGATAAACTTTCCACACCCCACCAAGTAAACACTACACACCTTTCCTCCAGCCTTCTGCCTCCTACGTATTAATTAAACCCTTATCCAATATAACTTATGTAAGCCATATTTAATAACTTGTTATCAAAGCCATATTTAGAGTGCTATGTCAGTCATGTAGAATGTGTTTTTAAATTCAAGGTTGGCAAAAAGGAATTACAAAACTATCTGAAAACCATACAAGGGTGGGTGAGTTTTGTATTTTGTTACACTTTTGGTAATTGTGGCTGTTTTTAAAAGCTCTGTTGGGCCACAGATTTTTAAGTGGAAATAAGCCAGTTTTGGGGGAGAAATGGTTGTGTATCAGAAACATACAGAAAGTAACTTTTTTTTCCCCTCAGCAAACAAATGTGAGGGGGGAAATAGCCATTTTGTCAAAAACATATATACAGAGATGTGGAGGATGGAAAGACCCACACACAAATGAAATCCCCCCCCCCCCCCCCAAAAAAAATTCACACCGGTCTAATGTAGAGCCATTAACACTTCACAGTAAGGGGGCAAAGTATGTATTATCACTTACCTGGGCAGGACAGATTTTTTGTAGGTGTCTTTAATAACAGTCTTTCACGATGTGTCAACCATTACACATACCATACACCATTAATGGCACATTTTTATTACTTTATTTTTTTTGCTTAAAAAAAGTCTAACAATAAATAAATATAAAATAGCAGACATAAAATTTCTGAAAAAGTAATATTTAATTGTATATGTGGGTGGTGGTGGTAGTGGTTGTTAAATCTTAGTAAGAGGAATGTGGAAAATGATGGCAGCCGTCTAACTTTAATGTAGGTCCATCTATCGTAGAGTTTTATACTGCTGCCTTTCACCATGGCATCTGAGTGCCTTCCGTGTAAAATCGATAGCAACACTGAAGAATAATGGTATTCCCGTCTCACGGTGAACATTCTGCATGGGGTGGGGCTTACTGGATAGAAGGGGTGTCAGTGTTGTGAGCGTCTTTTATAGTAGACTAATCTAAAAGGGCCTTTCTGTGTCAGCTGAAGAAGCTAGGCTGTAGCACAGCAGTAAAGAGAATCATAAACGCTTGTCACCCTGAAATATGGAAATCCTGACTACTTAATGGAGTGAAATCCTGACTCCATTGAAATCAGTGGCAAAACTCGCATTAACATGAAAGGGGCTAGGATTTTGCCCATCGACCTACATAACAAAGTTTTAGCATCATGTTAATTTTGTTAACAATAGAATTCCACTTTAACATAACTATAAGATATCTGAGAGAGAGAGAGAGACTCTAAACTTGCACTCTAAGACCAACATAAGGAAGTACTCTTAGTTGGCTATGCCAATCCAAAATGAATCCAGGGAGCACCCTCTATGAAATACAAGACAAGGGCAGTTGAGGAGAAAATGAAAGAATTCAGCTGGATTGTATTTTGAACAGTCTCATCAGTGTTCAGAATCTCTAGAGGTTGGTTTGTTTGTTTGTTTTCTCCAAGTGTCCTGGATGCAGAGGAAAAATTATTTAAAAAAACAACAACAGCAGAACTATTAATGATTAGTATCTGCCTAATTTTCTGTCAAGCGGTGTCATATCTATTCTAAAAACCTAGCCTGCAAGAACTACAGATCCTTCTTTAAAAATTTCCTCTGCAAATAATCCTGTCTCTTTATAAAGTAAATACTTTATTGTGCTGCAGAGATAATGCCTTGCAATATTAGGTGCCTCAGCAGTTTGAAGTAGTAATGGCTTCTGCTTTCCACCTTTTCAAAATAACTTCAAAGATATTGACAGCTCAGACAAGACTTTACTATGTCACTTTCATTTATTTTAGGTTCTTTTTCAGCATGGGCAACTGTACCTTTAGACTTGTTCAGGAAACAGCCTTCTGGACAACAAAGCTTTGCACTGACAAGCAGGCCCAGCGGCCATAGCCCTGTGTTAGGATCGGTCACTGCAGAGGTATCACATCTTATGTTTATTGTTGACTTTTTGACTGTCAGATTGTCCATTTTAAGAATACAGGCCCAATACACTATTGCCCAGCATGTTTTGTAACAATTTACAGAAGTGCCAACTGAGTGTGGTGCTACTTAATCAAAATGGTAGTGTTGTGAACTCGCTTTGTACTTGTGTAAGTGACTGCATAAGGTGCAGGGTAACAGTGAATCATACCCTACCTAAGGGGGGAGGGATAGCTCAGTGGTTTGAGCATTGGCCTGCTAAACCCAGGGTTGTGAGTTTAATCCTTGAGGGGGCCACTTAGGGAGCTGGGGCAAAATCAGTACTTGGTCCTGCTAGTGAAGGCAGGGGGCTGGACTTGATGACCTTTCAAGGTCCCTTCCAGGTCTAGGAGATAGATATCTCCATTAATTAATTTACTTATATTTATTTACTTAAAGCAAAAGCTGCGACTGTTATGGACAAAGCTTTAAGGAATAATTTGAGTCTTCTAAGGGCTTGTCTACACGAACACTTAGTTCATGGCAAGCTGGGGTGTCAATCTGCCCCACACTACCCTGGTGCATGCTTAAAGGTCTGTGGACACCTTGCTAGCATGCACTAACAGTTCATCAGTGTGCTTTGATCTAGTCCACTCTACAATTCCAGCTGCTGTTTCAAAGTATCTCTCTTTCCTTTTAAGGTGTAATTATTACTTTAATTACCAATTTTTCTCTTTTTAGTTCTCTTATGTAGAACCTAATGAGTCAAAGTCCTGGCAAGTTCCTGCTCAGCTTCCTGCCACAAAAATAGAAAAGGATCGAACCGTGATGCCTTGTGGGACTGTAGTCACTACTGTCACTGCTGTGAAAACCAAACCTCGACTTGAAGGGAAACATTCTGCACTGAGCCCAGGTGAAGACATCAGTGAAACTTTAAAATGCAAATCCAAGATTGTTTGTTTGGTTTGTGCTGGTTTTTAGGAGTATAGTTCCTATGGGGGACGGGGAAAGAAAAAAGAATATTGTCTAGTTCTATTTAGGTGTTGGTTGGTTTTGTTTTTAATGTGGTCCTGGTTACTTTGGATAAAATATTTCTTTTGCATGAAGCCAGATCCTGCCCCACAGAAGTCAATGGAAGTCTTGCCAATGACTTCAGTGGGAGCAGAATCAGCCTCCTGGTAAGTAAGGTGAGAAATGATCATGACTTCCTTTGCTTGGTACTGTGAATGTTGGGTGTCTCTCTTTGGTGAGGTTGGGTTTTTGTGTGTGTGTTCCCTTTGAAAACACGAATCTCAAAGAGTAGGGTAGAGTAGATAGTATGATGCTGCTATTAATGTATAAATCCATTGTATTTGAGGTGTTTCTTACACCCTGTCAAGGTGATCATCTGTCTGCCCCTGCGAAAAGATGGCACGTGACCCTCTAAAAACACACAACAAGCTGCTAACGTGGGTGCTCTTATGAGATGTCAGATTGTTTGTGATGTATAGAAAACTTGAAAAAAAATAGACCAAGTGCAAAAGACACAGGACAGCATTACCAGAACAGAAATTGAAATTGCGGGGGTACCTTGCTTTAACATGCATAATGCTTTCTTGAAGTATATTACTTCTGTTGTCAGTCACGTGGGGGAAGGGAAGAAAATGTGGAGTCACCCACTTTTCTTCCACCCTCTTTATCCCTCCCACATCCCCATTTGCATACATACCCACGAGAGAGGATATAAGTAAACCATATTACCTATATGGAAAATGCATTGCTTTAAAACTATTAACTTCTGACTTCTGTATTTCTTGACCTGTTTATCTCCTCTGCCCCTAACTCTTTAGTATGGATTGGTGTTTTTCTAAGCTACTATTCACACCTGACCAGGATTCCTGACAGGGATCTTCCTTATTAAACAGTTTGATTACTGACGCTTCCCTGGGGTAACCCGAGGTTGTGAGGCACCTTGCTACTCCCTGTCCTTAGGATGAAGAATCCTTGACTGTGCCTGCCGGGAGTCAGCTTCCTAACTCTGCTGGCCACGGGCAACATAAGCCCTCCTCTCTAGGCCTTACAGGCACCGCTGGTACTCTGCTGATTAGCGATAGGCACAGTCCAATCCCTGAACTCTCTGAGTGTCTCCCTGTAGCAGCCAGCTCCTGGTCCACTGGTCACTTGCAGTATGCACAAATCCATTTCTCCCAAAAAAGTAGTATATGCCAGCTTACCAGTTCCACCTCAGATCGCTGCGCCACCAAACACACAGCACTTAGCTATGTTTATGCTGAGATCATATCTAAGTTTATTCACCCAAGCACAGAGATTCAAGTAGTAGCAAGTAGAAGTATTGTATGCAAATGGTTACATATAAAATAGAATCATAGCTCTCTTTGTGGAGATGGGACTTATTTAACAAGATCCTCTCATGTCTAATAAAGTACTGCTCACCCAAAATCCCTGCAGCGCTTTACAGCCAGATAGGCTTTGACTCTTCTTTCATGAGACCTGCATGTTGTCAGTTTGCCACCTCGCTTTTGAAGGATTCTGTGTTTCTTTGTGCTCTAAGGGCTTGTCTTCCCGTACGGTGCTACAGCGGCGCTCGTGCAACTGCGCCACTGTAAGGCTTTAGTGAAGCTGCTACTACGCTGCTTGGAGAGCTTCTCCTGTCAGTGGAGTTAATCCACCTCCCTGCGTGGCGGTAGCTGTGTCTGTGGGAGAAGCTCTCCTGTCAGCCTAGCACTGTCTGCATAGGGAGTCAGGCTGGCATAACTGTATCGCTCAGGGGGTGGATTCTTCATGCTTCTGAGTGAGGTAGTTGTACCAATACAGGTCTATAAGTATAGACCTGGCTCAAGATAAACCAGACCAGTCCTTGGTCTTTATTCATGAACAGGACACCCCCTGCTGTTTGTTTCTTCCTGTAGATTTCCTCTCTTCAATTTCACAATCTCTCAATTCAGACTGAGGGCTTGTCTACACTGGCACTTTACAGCACTGCTACTTTCTCGCTCGGGTGTGAAAAAACACCCCCCGAGCGCTGCAAGTTTCAGCGCTGTAATGTGCCAGTATAGACAGTGCACCAGCACTGGTAGCTATTCCCCTCGTGGAGGTGGTTGTTTTTGGGAGAGCTCTCTCCCAGCGCTATGCTGCGACTATGCAAGCCACATTAAAGTGCTGCCGCGCCCAGCGCTTTAACGTTGCCAGTGAAGATGTGCCCTGAGCCTGAAAACAGGCCTACAGCACGAGGCATACAATACACAATAGGCCGGACAGGGAGATAGGTGCTAATTACCTCCTGCCTGAAAGGAATATTTCTGAGGTATGTCACCTCTTGGTGACCTCCCTTAACTCCAAGACCTTAAAAACATAATTTTAAGTATAGATACATAACTCCTTTAAGTATTATCTGCACATACATTTCTCAATGATTATCATGACCAGTGGGCTACCAACTCTTGGTAGAGACCCCACGTATCACCCCTCAGTGAATTATTATGCAGATAGCCAGCCCAGGGGATCCCTTTAACACTGTATGCACTCTCTACATACTCTGCCAGTCAGCACCAAGAGCTCCCTGTGTCACTTACCTTAGTTGTTGTTGCTCTCAGAGCACTCAGTAATGTCTACACTTTATTTATAATATTAGACTTTTCGTCTTAGATCACAATGAAAATGAGTTTGGCTTCTGGTGGATGCTTGTCCACATTACAACACTACCATACAACTTGATGAGACTGACAGAGTCTGTGCTTATTACAGACCTGGCTGGCTCTTTCTAATCCTGATAGCTATAACTATTTTTAAAGTGGATTGGCAATGTTGTGTGAGGAAGCTTGTCCAGTGTTGGTCCAGACTGTGCCTTGCTGTAACTAGTGTTGTTAGCCCTTCTGTGACAGGCACGAAGTTAAAACCCTCTTAAAATGTTGTGTGTGTAAATGTAAATATGAGTTACCGTCATCAAATCATTGCACAAACTTTTTTTAGTTTTATTTACCTGGCTCTTTTGTCTAGAATGTTTTAAAATCAAAATTATAAACAGAAAAATTAGCTCATTTTAAGACTGAAGATTTGGCATTTACCAGTGACAGAACTTTTGCTCAGAATTATACTAGACAGGTTTTTTCAAATGGTAATTTGTATCAGTAAAAGCACTTTTTCAGAGGCCCATTATTTTTGTTATACACATTTCTAAAATACCTATCACCAGAGTATCTAGGTGAGAGATAATAAATGAGAAACTTGCTTCTCAGATTCTCCTGTGAAAACTCATGCTAAAGAGAAAATGATTGAAAAGGATTTCTCAGTTCAAGCAATCCATTGTCAAGGTGCTCCGGTCAGCAAAGTGTTATCCTCTTCGGATACAGGTAAGAGAGAAACCTCCAAAGCCTGTATCTATATCCCTTTTTCTCTGCTATGCCATAGATTATCCTAAAACATTAAATTAACAACAGGACCCATGCCTTAGTGCCTTCTGGCAGGTATCATAGCATTTATGTTAGTAAATATTACAATTAGTGTAGAAGTCTGCGTGTAACTAATTCCTAACTTCCTGAAAATCTGTCAAGGAGCTGTGCTGTTAGGAGAGAAGGGAAGCCAATGGAGCAGCAGCCAGGTTGGCTCCTCTTTACTTGTCAACTAAATGTCTCTTTCCTACACATCCCTGGGCTCCATGGAATTAGGAAGGTACAAAGACTCCCTAATCCACAGTTCCTAAACTTCTTCCACCGGAGGGGATGGTGCACAAAAGCCCTTGTAAGTGGGACCACTGCTGAGTCCTCCTGTCAGAGGAGGTGCACTCTCCCTTGTGTCTAAATTAGTGGAAGAGAGAGACCGCCTATGGAAGTCAGAAGACTGGATTCTCTTCTAGCTCTGCCACTGACTCATTTGTGACCTTAAGCAACTCGTGTATCCTCACTGTGCCTGCTTCTCTACCTTTTGTAAATCACCCAGGAGATAGAAGATGAAGTGTGTTTAAAATACTAGGTAGGGATGGTGGTGGTAGAACCGTTCTTGAATTCACTTTTGGCATGTGGTTACATATGCTTTTTAATGTATTTAAATATAGACCCAAGCCCTTCAAGTGTATATAAGTGCAAACACCTTTTTTTCCCCTCCATATTTTGAATTTTCAGTGTCCTTATTTATATGGTCTTGTGGATGTCTTCCTGCAAATGCACTTTAAAAAAAAAAAAAAATTCCTTTATCCACTGTCCTTGTGTCCTTTACTCCTTGTGTCACAGTGAACATCACTCCCTTCTTGGAACTATAGTATCATAGAAATTAATAATGGTAGAGACTCATTATGTCATCTTTAAATGGCACATGCTATGGAATTTACTGCTCCTTTGGGGTAGAGATTAGAGTACATAGCACACTCTCTGGAGCCAATTCACACAGTTCCTGAAACAGTTGGAGGGTTTGCTGGACGATGAAGATCTGCTGGCCCAAGGACAAAGATCCATGATAGGTAAGCTGTTGTACGTCAGTGCAGTGACTGGAGTTCATGCAGATTACTTTAAATATTTTTGTTTTTGTTTTGGCTTAGGCTTCTTTAAGGCCTATTTGTTTACTTCATTTATAACATTTCAACCAACTTGATAGATTTCTTTGACAGGGTAACAAGTCTTGTGGAAAGGGGGGAAGCAGTAGACGTGGTATATGTTGACTTTAGTAAGGCTTTTGATACTGTCTCACATGACCTTCTCATAAACAATCCAGGGAAATACAACCTAGATGGAGCTATTATAAGGTGGGTGCATAACTGGTTGGAAAACCATTCCCAGACAGTAGTTATCATTGGTTCACAGTCAAGATTGAAGGGCATATCGAGTGGGATCCTGCACGCTGTGTTCACTCTAAGCTGTGCGGTCGCGTGGTGGCCCAGGAGCGAATCAGGTGCCACACACTTGATTAGCAGAGCCACGCACGGCAGCATGTGTTCAGATGCCCCTCCCCCTGCTGTTCTGCAACCGCATTGCTCCTGCCCTCTGCCTTGGAGCCCCTGGCCAGTTGCTCCTGGCACCCTCCTGCTTGTGCAGAATGGGGGAGGGGGAAGGAGGGAGGAGGAGAGGCGCTGATGTCAGGGTGTCCGCCGCCCCCGCCCATGTATGCCATCTCCACAGAGCAGGGGAGAGGGGACAGGGCTCAGGAGCAGGAGAGCTGCTGGCAGCTGCTATGGTCTGAGCCTTCTGGTGAGTGCCTTAAAAAGACAGCGCATGGTCTCTCATAGACTTCCCCAGCAGCTCTCTGACACACACACACACACACACACACACACACACACACACACACACACACACACACACACACACACACAGTCTCTTTCACACTCATCTACAACACATATTTGTGTTGTTGTTACTTCTTGGTATTTCCTGAATTGTACATATATTCTCTGTAATTTTATTCTTTTAGTTTTTTGACTGGTCTGTGCATTTTATTTTATTTCTCTCTTATGCTTAAATTTAATTCTTTCAGTCAGTAGTGAGTTCTAAAATGCCTAACCTGTCCTGGCTGGAGTAATTATCCCTATGGTAACTTAAATCTAGATATAATATATATATTTTTTATTTTTGTTTCTACTGGTGCCGCACATTACCTCGATATTGGTACACATAACAAAATTCATTCCGCACATGGATGGAAAAAATTAGAGGGAACATTGCCCGCAGGGATCAGTTCTGGGCCAGTTCTGTTCAGTATCTTCATCAATGATTTCGATAATGTCATAGAGAGTACACTTCTATAAAGTTTACGGATGATATCAAGACGGGAATGGTTGCAAATGTTTTGGAGGATAGGATTAAAATTCAAATTTATCTGGACAAACTGGAGAAATGGTCTGAAGTAAATAGGATGAAATTCAATAAGGACAATTGCAAAGTACTCCACTTTGGAAGGAACAGTCAGTTGCACACATACAAAATGGGAAATGACTGCCTAGGAAGGAGTACTGCAGAATATGATCTGGGGGTCATAGTGGATCACAAGCTAAATATGAGTGAATGCTGTTGCAAAAAAAGCAAACATCATTCTGGGATGTATTAGCAGGAGTGTTGTAAGCAAGACACGAGAAGCAATTCTTCCGCTCTATTCCACGCTGATTAGGCCTCAGCTGGAGTCCTGTGTCCAGTTCTGGGCACCACATTTCAGGAAAGATGTGGACGAATTGGAGAAAGTCCAGAGAAGAGCAACAAAAATGATTAAAGGTCTAGAAAATATGGTCTATGAGGGAAGATTGGAAAAAATTGGGTTTGTTTAGTCTGGAGAAGAGAAGATTGAGGGGGGACATAACCGTTTTCAAGTACATAAACAGTTGTTACAAGGAGGAGGGAGAAAAATTGTTCTCCTTAACCACTGAGGATAGGACAAGAAGCAATAGGCTTAAATTGCAGCAAGGGCGGTTTAGGTTGGACATTAGAAAAAACTTCCGAACTGTCAGAGTGGTTAAGCACTGGAATAAATTGCCCAAAGAGGTTTTTAAGACCAGGTTAGGCAAACACCTGTCAGGGAAAGTCTAGATCAGGGGTCCTCAAACTGTGGGGTGCTCCCCCCACAGGGGAGCATGGAGGAACCTTCTGAGGGGGCGGGACCCAGGCTAGCTCACAAGGGGTGGTGATGGAGCGCCACCCAGCCCTGATCCATCCCCAGCTCCGCTCCAGCCCTGCTCCCAGCCGTGGCCCCGGTTCTTGACTGTGGCTCTGCTCCTGGCCCCAGCTCCGTCCCCGCTCCAGTCTTGGCCCCCGACTGCAGCCTGACCGTGGCCTCCACTCCTGGCCCCAGCCTCAGCCCCTGGCCGTGGCTCCGTTCCTGGCCCCAAACCTACCCCCAGCCTCGGCTCCCTTACCCCGTCCACGCCCTGTCTCTGGCTCAAGAGGGGGCGGGGGGAGGCGCGGACGGGGGTAAGGCGGCGTGCAACTGAAAAGTTTGGGGACCACTGAGCTAGATAAGATTTAGTCCTGCCATGAGTTCAGGGGACAGCACTAGATGACCGATCAAGGTCCCTTCCAGTCTGACATTCTGTGTCCAGAGAGACTCTGAAGCTTCATGTACAGTCTTGGAAGAGTGAATGACATACCTATTCCAGGATACAAAGGAAGGATTTGGGAATGGAATGGAAACTAATAGTAAAATGATCATTTGGCTTACGTTTGGTTATGTGGTGTTTTAGTTACATGATTGTGTTGATCTCTCTATTGTTGTGTTTAAAATTCAAGCTGTCTTCCTTTTCCTGCTCTTATGCTTTGCTCTGCACTTAAACCCTTGCCTACTTTTTATCTTAAAGCACTTTCCTTTCTTTTCAGAGCTGCTGGTGTTGAATGGCACTGATCCAGTTGCTGAAGCAGCCATTCGACAGTTAAGTGAGTCTGCAAAGCAGAAGCTGAAATCTCCAAGAAAGAAAAGCACCATTATCATATCAGGGGTGTCCAAGGTAGAGTTCAAAGTCACACTTGTATTTAATGCCCGACACTGAAGAGACTCTTCGCTTTGCTGAGTATGATACTTGAACACGCACTCTGCTCTCTTCCATTTGACAGTTTTTGCAGAAGCTGGGGTTTATATCCTTGTTGCTTCAGAAATTAAGTGTTGCAAGTTAAGCCTAAAAGCAGAGAGTTAATCAGACACAATTTAGCTAGACGACTAACTTTATTAGATAGAGGCCGTTATCTTGGGAGATGGGGCTGTGGTTAGGGTTGGGGAGGACATGCCCAGGCTCAACAGCCTGGTGAGAATTCCAGTTGCGAGGCAAGGAGATGGTGTTGGAATTGCTACCAGGCTACAGTCCCTAGACTGGGCATGGGGGCTTCATCTTTCAGACTAAGCTCCCTGTAAAAGAGGTAGTTGATTTTTTTTTTTTTTTTTAAATGTCCCACCACTCTCTCCAGCTGCTGGAAAAGAGAAGAAGCTTTTGTCTCTTTATGTTCCCTATCCTCATATAGCCTTCTGGCTGCTCTCCCCCAGCCCCCATCTTGTTCCTTCTCCCTACCGAAGAGCTCCAAGGCCTCTGCTGCTTCTCATTTTTCCAAGCTGCCGTGCAGTGAAATTTACTGCCGTTTTTTGTCACTTTTCACAGCTACTTGCAGGGTTCTGAGGAGAAGCAGTGCACGCTGACATACCCCTTGTCTGTCTGCACTGTGCTGTGAAAGCTGGGAGCAGCAGCATTGAAACTGTCTGCAAAATGGGAATGAGGCACTACATAGACTTGAATGCAGCAGACTTTCATAAAGGTTCCTTTGCCACCATAAGGTCTTAAAAACTTTTTTTTTTTTTTTTTTTTAACCAAAGCTTAGATTTTTCTGGAAGTTGATACCTTTTTAGTTCCTTCCACACAGATGCTTACTTGCAAAGGAAAGTCTTCCACTGCAGTAATCACTACTGGTCAGTGGATCTTTTTTTAAACCAAGCCCTAATCCTTTTGTTAAAACCAAAGTTAATTTAGCTCTGTGCTCTGCTTAGAAAAGGAGCAAAGAGAATACGCGATACTGTGGAATTTTGGCAGTATCTGGGCAATGCAAACAGGGTGCAAAAAATGAATAAACCCTTGGGGTGGAGATTGGTTTGTCCAGCAAATAGTGTCTTTTTTTTCCCCCCTCTCTCTCTCTGTGTGGCAGACCTCCTTATCTCAGGACAGTGAAGCTGCACTGATGATGGACTATGCAGCAGCCATGGATGACTCATGTAAAGAGGAAGCCCCTTCCATGGTGGGGGATTCTACCACAGAAGTCCCCAATAAAAAACTACCACTAGCTGCTTCACAAATGCTACCTGCCACTGACCCAGAGGAAAATAGCCATAATGCGTGGGACTTGGATAACAGCAGCCAACAATGGACCAGCAATGCACTCTTAGACCAGGACTGTGAAGAGATGTCCGGGAGTTCATTAAGTGTCTCGGAATCTGGGAGTGTGAAAAAATCTAAAGGTATATGAGCTCTCTTGACACTTGCCTAGTATTGTATCAAAGTACTGATTTCTATAGCTGAACTTCAGTGTCTTTGTCAAGCAGCACTATCGGGTGATTCTTTTCTGTTCTTACCTTCTTAAACTTCCAAGTGGATTTGGTGCTGGTAAAAAGTGTCTGACTCATAACCCTGAAGAATGAAATCCTCTAGTTAACCACAAAAATACAGTATAGGCTTCCCCGCACTTTGCCCCTCCATCACGATATGGAAAGACTTGTTCCAGGAGAGAGAGGGTAAATTGCTCCAAATCCATTCAGTCATCTGGCTTCTCTGAGGAGATCAGTGACCAAACTGCAAATTCACTGATGCAAATTCTTTCTGGTAAATTAAGATCAAGAGTAGTGAGGGCCCAAATAAAGAGAGAAAACAGTACAAATCCACAATCCCCTCCACCATCCCCTCTGTGCACAACCTCCCTCTGTCCCCTCCCCCTGACCCTCCCCACAAAAGGATATTTGTGTCCCTGATAAACTTTTTACTCTTTGTGCATATTAAACTACCCATTGAACAGTTTGTCCCTCTCCCCTCTTGCCTTTTTCAATAATACAGATCTTTACAAAAGAGAGTGACACACAGGATGTGATTGTTTTCTTTAAATGAGGGACAAATTGTTTTGTTATCATAACTGATACTTGCCTGAGTGTGTCTGCAGGCTGCAAATGACCTGGGCATGTCTTGTGCCTTGTGGCTCATTAGATTTTTCTTCCCCTGTACTCATACTAACTTTGGAGACGAATTTGAGTCTCACTGCTTCTGTTCTGTGGCTGGTGGGATTTTGAACCTGAAAGAAACCAGCTGGGAGGTGAGCTGGGGACATTCTGTTCAATGGACTCCACTCACCCACTTGCCTGTTACCTAGTGTAGGAGAGAGGCAAGTCTAAGGGCCACTGTCCAGTAGCTGCCAAAGTTCTTATGTATGCCATCCCCCTCAAGACCTTTTCTGACTTTTTTTTTTATGGCCTTCAGGAATAGTACTGAAAACCCCACCACAAAATTTTTATCTCTCGTGCTTTAAATTCATAATCTCTGCCGTAAAATATAACGTGGATCTTTACGTGCTGAGGTTTCTCCCATTCTGTCATGATTTTCCCATCTTGTCTTTCCTGGCAGTCACTTATTGTTAGCACCTTACCTGAAGCTGTCAAGGTAAATGAACAGTTTGGCAAATGTATCCATAAGCTGGCCATTAAGAAGTGCTTTTATAGAGGGTGGGTTTTGCCTGTGCTTAACTCTCTCATATTTTGAGACCTGAATATTAGGAAATATGTGATTCCAGGGTACATTGTCACTAAGCCTCTGGACTCATTTCAAAATTTACCTTCGGAAAACAAAGACTTACATTTGAGTAGCTGTTTGGGTGGGGTTGTTGTTAAAAATGCAGTTACAATAAAAACATACTCTTCTTTCTCTGTACAATCTGACTGCTCAGACTTAAATGCTACTCTCTTTTCTATTTTTAAAATAATTGTGTTCACCATCTCCTAACTCTTCAGTAGAAACATTCTGAGTTCATGATGCAATACACGAGTGCAAAAAAAATCAGGTGTCACATTCTTACATATTGTGAGGATGTTTGTGTCACACTCCACAAATAGCACAATGTGGTTGTACACAAAAGCATGTCAGAAAAAAGAAATTCACAGTCTAACTGTGGGGCTCTTGTATGTTGTGTTCTCTGACAGCATCATGGCTTTTGTGAAGTAAGACAGGAATATTTCCTCTTTCCCTCATCCGCCCCCCACTAAGTTATGCTAGTACAAGATGTTTGTTGTTTAAAAACTCACATCTGCATTCGTTTTGCAGGGGAAGCGTTTGCCAAATGTTCTACTTAACCAAAAAAAATCCTTCAAGTACAATGTTAATGGTTCACAATTTGTACTGTCTTTCATTATTATTTTTGCTCTTGCCTGTGTTTCTTTTTACCTCTTATTACCTTTCTGACTTCATCTTTCTTACTCATGCCTTTTGTAAACTTAAGAGGACTACTATGCCAACCTGAATTAATTGCCTACACAGTAAGTTATTTTTGTTTTACTTTTATTAAAGAAAATGTAGCTTTACTGTGAGACACATATTGCAAAAGTGAAGCAAAACTTTCGTTTGTTTTCTCACCTGTTATTCTCTTCCCTGTGTCAGGGTTGGGTTTTTTCCTTCTCTCCGCAATACCTTTGTTTATGTAGAGAGTTCTTAGCAGCTTAGTCTGTAGTAGCAAGTTATTCTAATTGTAAGTGTGTTACCCTTACAAATAATTGATTTGGGGGAGTGGGGGAGAAGATAACAGATTGGGAAAACTTGGATAATTACTGCAATTTTACTGACATCTCGCTGTATTTCTGTGGCATTCATCCCTGTAGGAGCCTACCAAAGACATGCACGTACAAATTACAGATGATTACATACCCATACATGAATACTGTGTGTGTTTTACAAATTGTTTATGGCTTTCTAACACTCTTTCCTAACAATCCCCAATTATTTGAGCTATAATATCTTTATATTTAAAATATTGCAGTATCGTTTCAAAAACCGTACTATTCATTACATACGTAGTGCACGTTTGTTTGCCTTTATGGAGCCAAGCAAAACAATTAAGACTCGAACGTGACTTGAACTCCTTCAGAGTGCTTGCTAAGGATTCTACGTGCCCCACTCCCTTTCTCTTGCCAGAAATAACAAAAGGATTGCATGAGAATACAAGTTGATTTTGTATTTGCTTTCACCTGTTTCCAGTCACTTGTCCTTCCATCCTACTGCCCAGCTAACCTGGCTGTTTCACTAGCAGCACCTCCTGAAAGAAAGATACTCCTACTTCCAGAAGTATAGATTGACCATTAAAGTATAAGCAGTACCAGAGTGAAAGCAGAGGCATATATTAAATAACTATATTGCACTTCCTGGATGAAAGCTACTTTTGTGGAATAGAGAAAACTGGGAGAAGGAGGGGCTTTAGTCCGAAGCCACGAATAGTATGGAGACATGGGATATGAAACTCATCAATTAAACAAAAAATGTACTAAATACAATTCTTCAATAATCAATTTGAGTGGGAGTGGGGAACAATGTAGTTGTACAGGACAACTAATCTGGTATTAACTGTAAGGATATTGCACTGAATTTCATTAGGGTATGTCTTAATGTGATGCATTTGACAGGAGACTCCATTGACAATAATGGTAGCCATATCCTACTTCCAGGACAGTATAATGTAAAAAGTTCCCTGTCTGCCTTGGTTTATGTATTCATAGGTAATGACAGCAAAGCAAAGCGAATGGCATCAAGATGGTGATGGGTGCCAATACAAGAACCTAGCTAGACTCGTTAGATTAGATAGTGGTGTGGATACAAGCTATTGTGACTGTACAGCACTGGCAAGTTAGTAATGGAGACCACATTTTGTTCTCTTGTACTAGTTTGAGCTCCAGAGAGGAAGATAATGAGTACTTGATGCTCACTGTTTGGGGTCCTAAGCTGCACTCCCCCCAAGTTCTTCACTTTAACTGCCAATTTCCAATCTGCATGAACCCTCTAGAGGAGGAGATGAAAATGCCACCACCCCACTGTGCACAAAACCAAGTTTGTCATTTTAAATCTGTATTGCTAGACCTTCCTTTTAATACCAATGTAGGCTGACCTCTCCTCTTAACTTCAGGGTTTTGTATCCGACACTGACTAATTGCATGCTTCAGCCTCACAGTTGAGGCTATGTGCACACACAAAACAGGATCACTTACAGAAGAGAGAATTCTTAGAAGTGGGGGACTGCTGGCTCCCAAAAGCAATCCATTTTCTTACAGAAAGAAAAGATTACTGATGATTTGTGTTACAGATGCAAGTTTATTGAGGGGAGACAGGCTGTGGTTGGCATGACCGCATAACACATGACACGGTTGCCTTTTCATGCATTAATCAGGACTGTATTATTAAAAGTATTTTTCATGTAATTGGAGTATTAATTTATTACGTAACTACTTATGTCTGTTCATTTTAACAACCCTGCTTGACGACAAACCGGAGAGGGATTTTGAAGAGTTTGGCGGCTAAATTCTAACAAGTCTGTTCTGAGCATGTGCAAACTGAGACTTTTTCAAAGATTTTTTACTAGTCGAGTTTTGGGTTTTTTTTTTTTTTTTTTTCTTCCCTCCCCCCCTCATGGAAACAGCAAATGGCACATCCTTGACAGCAGGCTCCCTGCCAAATGTGAAGGCACTAGAGCGTCTCAATAAAACACCTGCAAGAATGTTTTTAACATGGGGAAAACAATGTATGTTTCCCTAGCCTCGTTTTCTGAAACAGCCGAATCCTTTCTGCTGAAATTTTAAAAATGAAGAAATTTAGCCACTTTCCATGCCCAGTCAGCTAAAGTTAGGCAAAGTTATAAGCATCTGACAACAGGACCTTTATAATGGCAAGTGTTGGGCAACTTAACTGTAGGTACCAGCTCCACCTATAATACACACACTGACTTGTACAGGCACATGGCATGTAGTGCTCTGAATAAATTAGCATTTACAGATGCCAATGGGGATCCTGAACTTGGAATTTAAATGCCAACTTCATCTTGTGCATAAACTAGCTGTATACTCTCTCTCCCCCCTTCCCCCTCCCCCCCCCCCCCAGCTTCCTTGCTATTTCAGCAGCAATCTGTGCACTAGATATCTGGGGGGAGGAGGGTAGAATGTGTTTGTATTTCTGAACATGTCATCCCATTCATTTCATATCTCTTCCCCCATACCACATGCTGTACTTCCTAGTGTATTGGAAGGATTAAATCAACCTGAATGAGATGTGAGAACTCAAAGATCCTGGAATGTTGCAGCCCACAATGAATGCTATGCATGTATCATGGGCTTTAAGAGAGCAACTGAAACTAAGCAAATGGAAGGGGAAGTCTACAATACTCGTGGATTGGCCCTGAAAAGTTGGAGAATTCAAAGGATCTCCAATATAAACAATTCTCATCTGTACCTTGTTCTGTAATAGCATCTCTGTCCTTTTCAACCACGCTCTTTTTTCGAGGACTGAAGGAAAACACATTCTCTTTAGTGCTCCTCTTAACAATAACAGTGAATGCCTACATTGCTTTTGTTGTAGATAATATTTTCTTCCTTGGTTTTTCTATTACCTGTAAGTGTCTGTGCATAGATAGAGATCTATAGTTGCTGTAGGTCCTCATGAATTTGAGTGATTAGGTTAGAATGAAAAGCGCTATTTCCATGGAGTTGAGGGGAGGTGAAAGAATATATATACACACACTTGCTCTTTCACTAACTTAAGAGCCTAGACTTTCCCAAAATTGTTCCATTTTGGGGCGGAGGGAGGATGTATGTGCATGTTGCTGGAAATACAGTAGCATACAGTGTAGATGCATTCTGTCATGTGAGCATCTAGTTGACAGCACAGATCGTGTACAGGCAAACTTAAGTTATTGTGACTAGTTACAAAACAGAACTTTGATAGAGCATTGATGTTATCTAACCTAGAGAACGTTCATAATATTCTTGCTCCAGTACAGAACAGTCTTGGTTTCCTAGCTTGTCTTTCACATTAAGTATTTCAGAGGGCATAATTTAAAATTAGAAGCACACTAAAAATGATTTTTTTTAATAGAATGTTAAAACAAAATAAAATGGTGATCCATCGGGGAAAGCATATTTATATCTAAATTCTCCATCTCGTTCACCTCTGCAGGTGGAATTTTGAAAAAAAGTGCAAAGCTGTTTTTCCGTCGGCGGCATCATCAGAAGGATCCAGGAATGAGCCAGTCACACAATGACCTTGTTTACCTGCAGCAGCCAACATCTGATGAAACCCGAAGGAAGGGAGCAACGCTAACACGCATCCTTCACAAGAAAATTCTTTCTAAGAACAAAAGCAAGAACAAGCTGAATGGCACTTCCATGGAGCCATGTGTATAAAACCTAATGCTCTCTAAATGATACTTGCACATCAATTGATCAGCGGTTTACAAAACAATACTAGAAGATGTAAACACAGATTGTGACATGCATAAAATAATATTCACAAATGCAGTGGTTCCAGAATAAGCAGACAAAGCTTGGCTTTTATTTTTCCAAAACACAGTATTTTTTTTAAAAGCCTTTAAGCAAGAAGGATCCTCTTGTCCACACCAGCCTACTCCTAAGCATAAATAGTGTTGATTGTATGATAACATATTTTCCCCCCCACTCCAATCCAAGTTGTCACTCTGCATTCAATCCTGATTTGAAGAAGGTTTGAATCTACCACTCCTAGTGATAAGATTTTTATTTTTGGGAGGGATGGGGGTAGAGAAGGTGGGTTGGACTGTAGAAGTGGTGTGACTGGGGAGGCTCACCTTTTTTTAAGTTTAGAATATTAAATCTAGCTTACATTTAACTTCTAGCCAACATGACTTCTTGGTTTCTAGGTAGATGACTGGACCACTGTAAAGAGGTAACGTACCACTGTGGTTTGTGCTTCTGTAATAAGAAACAATAGTAGCAATGCAGATCTCAACTTGGGTTTCTAGACAGGCTGAAAGTGGAAGCCGAGAGACCCTGATCTGGTTCCTGTTATAATTTGGAAATGGGTTTGTTTCTGGAAAAGGAAATTAAATGCTGATTAATACAACCTGCTGTAATAACTGCTAAATCAGTGTAGGTAGACATTTACCTTTGATGTTAGCCATAATAATTGATGATTATGCAAATCTGTATCCTAGAATATTTAATTATGTGCATATATTATGCTAAAACCCCTTTTTTTTTCTAGGTTTACTTTGTTCCCATTTGCAAACAAAGTATTTAAAAGGTCTTACTGTTACTTCTATTTCCCCCACTATATGAGAAGCTATAAGTGCTAATGCAACAGTTTTATTTTGGGGACTCTACACCCTTATCTACAGTACTTTTGTAGACAAGTATACTAGCAACCATATCAAAAGCAAAGTTAGGAGCAATAAATGTTGTTTAGATTACGTTTAATCCTACTTAGATTTTTATTAGTTCATGGTCTGATTTGCTAGTTACCGGTAGCCTGGAAAACAGAATTTTTGAAATGTTTCTCTTTCCCTTCCTTCAGTTACAAGTTTACAAGTTTTGTCATATGGTAAGGGTTTTTTTGGTTTGTTTGGTTTTTGTGTGTGTTTTAAAAGATATTGTAGTTAGCTCCTTTCTTTAATATCTGATAAAAGAAAAATTGTAGTTCTCACTTAGTTAAACTGCCTAAGAGGGGACTAAAACTTCTGTATCTAGATACATTTTACAGATTACATATTTTTCATATATATTCCTGTTTACACATTCCTTTGCCATATATGCATTCCCTGTTGAGAACATAGCACTCAATCCTGCTGTCTTTACCCAGGCAAACACGCCTGTTGCCCCAATATCACCACTGATCTAAACTGATGCAATTCCATTGAAGTGAACAGAGTTGTGCCTGTTTCTGTCACTAGTGAATTTGGCCCAAAGACTTCAGTAAGACATTTGACTGAGTAAGGATGGCAGTATTGGGCCCTAGCCTTAAAGGCATATTTTCCCAAAATGGAAACTTGAATAATTGAACTAAGAGCTTTCAATACTTGTGGTAGGCTCGAAATTCCTTAGCAAAGATGTACTGAAGGGTATAAAACTTGGGGGGGGGGGGGGGAATCTTTAGCAAAAAATAAAATATCCAAAGAAATGAACCACCAAATGCTTTTAATTGAGCCTCTAGTTCCAAATACATTTTATTTGGCCTAGTAATAGGACTGTGACAGTGTTGTCATGCATACCATTTTACAGAAAATAGGTACTGTCAACAGTCTTGCTGTATTTGTTGTTATAAATACTTGAAGGCATTTTTAAACACTATTTTTAAAAAATCTTAAGTTTGTTGCAGTTGCAATTTTTTGTAATATAACTATGCACTCTACAGCTTTTGTGGGGGTTTTCTGTTGTGGGTTGTTGTTGTTTTTTTTTAAATCCGAAATCATTATGGCTTTGGGATTAGGTTAAAGTCCTACTTTAACATATTTGAGACTGTTTCTCCTTTTTACTGACTTGCAAAAAACCGAGATTAGGATTCCATATCTACTTTACAACAGTTTATGCATCAGCACCAAAAGGCTGACCCTGCACTCCTTTGGTGTGCACACACAATTCCCCTTGACTTTGTTAGGTGTTGTTTGCACGTAATGGTAGGTAAAAGAGAGATCCCTGCCCTATTTAAAGTTTTTGATCTGGTCTACACTACAGACTTATATTGGTATAACTACGTTGCTCAGGGGTGTTTAAAAATCCACACCCTTGTGCAATGTAGTTATACCAACCTACCTCTCCCCCTCCATGAAAGGCAGATTAATTATGCCAATTGGAGAGCTCTCCTGTCAGTTTAGAGTGTCTTTATTTAAAGCACTATAATGGCACAACTCAGTGCTGCCCTGATACAGCGTTTTAAGTGTAAACTTTCCCTTAGTGATGCTATTTGCTGAAAGGAGGAAAAACAAAATTAAACCCTGAATGTCGTGGCCTTTCTAAACTCAAGTTTTCCTAAGGTGAATAGATATCACCATAGTATACAAGAACCTAGGAAGTGCAGGATTAGGCCCTGATGAGTGAAAGGAATCACTGATAGTAAACCAAACATTTGACACTAAATATGTAAAGTCTGTTAAATTACTGAGTTGGGATTTTCGTGTACAAAACCTTGTGGGGTTCATTTTTTAAATTGGTGTGAGGGATTACATTCATCTTGGCAGAATGCAAGCAGGAGGCTCCCTCCTGCACCCCCCAGGAGACCAGTAACTCTTCATTTTTATGGAAGTCTTGGATGACTGCCAAAATTTGAGTTTTGGTGGTGGGGAACTAAGGTGGAGACTAGAGTAGCCTATTCTCAAGATGGAGGGGACAAAGGCATTTGGGATAAAAGGGGGTCTTAATTTTTGTTGTTAAATTAAAAACTTCTCAACGGCCCCTCCAAAATAGCCCTGTTCAGATGGATAGTGATTTAAGATTTGCCACATGTGGCTAGGTCATTTCCCCCTCTTCTAGAAATCACTGTAGATAGTGTTGAGAACATGTTAGCCATAGTCACTAGTTGTGAACCCAAACTGACAGTTCAAATCCTCAGTATTTCAAATGTTCAAAATTATGATCCATACCCCCCCCAAAAAAATTATGAGATTAAAAATAAATGTGAGGGGGTTATATGCCCTCTGGTTTCTGAGCCTTCAGGATGAACTCTGTCATGTTTTTCAAGCTTTCCTCTGCAACCATGAGGGCTAGGAACGTACTCTTATTTTTAAATGAAAGCTGAGATTCTCATGTAATCATTTTATTTCCAGGCATTGGGGCTTTAAATAAAGTCTCATATTGGAAAGCTCACTGTTAAAATTGCAAGAGCTAGCAACACTCAATCCTATGAAAATAGATGGGCACATACCAGTAGTTCACCTACAGCCTGCTCCCATCTACGTGAAGATGAGTTTTGCCACAGAGTTCAGCAAGATTGAGCACTTAACGTTAACACTGGGTCCAATCCTCTCAAGTGCTGAATGCCTCCTGCAATGATCTGTGAAGAATACCAATGGGCATGGGGGCAGCACAGCACCTTGCAAGATCAGATCCAGCATGGTTCCCTAACTTTGGGGAAGGGCAGGGGTTGTAATATACAGACACACATACCTTAATGATTTTAGTAGTTCAGCATTTGAGAAGGAATATCACATCACGCACCAAAACCCTTGCATTGTGTTATAGTTTTTGCTCATAATCAAATTATTTCAAAGCTGTATTGTGGAAATAATTCATGAAATCTTTTTGTGGTGTTTTTTTAATTCTTATTTATCCGTGCATTCTGTAAGCCAAAGAAAGTATACAGGGGTTGGTTTATTTTGTTTTTTTTACCCGTGTGTTTTCTCTTTATTGTTATGTAGAAATTGCAGAAGGAAACAGTGAAACTAACTATATTTTGTGCATTTGACAGCACTTCACCTTCCCACCCTCACTCCAAATTGTCCTTTTCAGTTCTAGTGATCCCTTAGGTGTTAGAGCAATAGTACTATAGGGTTTGGGGGCGGTAGAGGAGGAATCACATAAATGTGACTTTTTTTTATTGCTTGCGTCTCATTGAATATAAAGCCGAAAGTTAAGATACATGTGAGCAGGGTACCATAAAAAACCCAAGTACACCATAGCATAGGATTAAATGATTACTCGAAGGGAACAGAGCCTGGTAATACAGTCCATATTTACATGTAGCTGCCCTACTGGAAAAGCTATGATATAAAGAGCAGAGTTGTTAATTAAACTGCTTTTAGCAACCAATGGCCTCACATTTACTCCTTGACATCCACATTGACTTCTGTGGGACGATTCATGTACTTAAAGTAAGGTATGTGTTTAGGTACCTTGCTGACTCAGGGCCTTAATGATAAGGAAACTCTGAATACATTCAGTTAATCTTCCCACCATTCAATTAAGGGTGAGCGATGTATTACTCAGGACAGCTATACTGCTGTTGTGCAAGCTACTAGCGAGCCACAAAAGTAGCCGGCATATATGGAACTGGTTATCTTGCCAATCTTGTTATTTTAACAGCCCTATATAAAAAGTGTAGCTGTTTACCAAGGGTGTAATATGCTTGCATATTCCAAACAGGGTGAAACATTTACTCTTAGCACTCAGCTGTGATAACTTTTTTTAAATTTGTACACTAAAATAACTTGGTGCAATTAAGAGGACTGTGCTGTACAGATTTATTAGACTATCACTAATAAGCATGAAAAGAGGATGTCTTTTCTTTTTTTAAAAGAAATAACTACTGCTGTACATAAAACAATAAACACCAATTGTCTCTGTATAGTATCCTGTCATATGTGCCCAGGTCTTCCAGGTGTACCAGATCGTCTGTCTGCTCATCTGCATTAATAACAAGACTCCATGTTTACAGGGCCTCTTTACCTGTTTTCTTTTAGCAGCAAGCTCCTCCTAGCTGTGCCTGACCCTGTGTTGCTCAGTTCTTATTGTGCCTGAACCCATCGAGGAA